CACAGTTTGCACTAAAAATAAACACAGGAAAGAATCACCCTGTGATGAAACAGGTGAACAAATAAGAGAATAAAAATCATGCGCAGGTTCCTTTAAACGGAAGTGAGTCTTAATGGAAGCCTCTAAAAGAAATGATTTATACATTCCCGACGCTATTTAAACATACACACACAGAGATCATGATGATTTTGCGTTGTGGAGGAGAAATGCAGACAAAACTGGCAGATGAAATCTCAATTGATCTCATGGACAAGATCAATTGCAAACTTCTATTGAGATCTAGTTGAATCTAGACTACAAAAACGACCATCTGCATTTCATCACACATGTTAATTGATAAGCAGAGATTGAGATGAATTAATTGAAATGTCAAGACTTCCCAAAAAAAGAGCTCAAACATCTCGCATAGCTCTTATTGTCAATCAACTCCCATAAGAACCATAAGCTCCGCAATGACGTCATTCAGCAAGACACAACGTCAAATTAAGGAATTCTCTTTCTATCATCATTTCATCTGCTTCACACTCGGACTTTTTCCCCCTCGAGCACAACTTTATGCCACACTATGTTTACTTACATTTTGCAGTCACATCGCCAATTGTTACAATTATTATTATTTATTCACGGTTACCAAGCAATTATCGCGCGTACCATAATCATGATTAGGAAAAGAAACATTTGTAAATAAATATAAAGTCAATTCTTCACGGAAAACCATGACATTTTTCATTTAACGGAAATATTGGTGGATGGATTGAAGTTAAAACGCAATGACTCTTTTCTAACTCTTCTTTTTCCCCTTTCCTTGATGGATCATTCAACGCGCAAAAGCCACTCAAAAGATGGCAGCTGGTGAAATAAATTAATTAAAATCTTTTAAATATTCTCTCCCTTACAAACATTTCACACAAACACACATTCAAATCCAAACGCGCGTGTTTCTCGGTGAGATGAAGAAGATGATGAAAAAAATCAGCAACAACAACTTTAAACTAGACTGAAATTATCTTGTTCGACTCTCCTTCTGATATGTTTTCTCGCGCGCCGGACTCTTGACTGATTGCAAAATGACATCTTCAACCTTCATGCTCAATAAAACAAATGTTATTCCCGCTGAGAATTCTCAGAGTCTCTCCCATAAAGCCCCAACTAATTTACACATTCGCAACACCCCCACAGATAAGTTTGGGATCACGGCTGCAGTCAATGTACATTGCGCACGAAGGCACAGAAGTAAATCCACTCATAAAACTATCCGCGACAACTTGAGTGTCTCTCAAACTGTTTGTCGTCAAACATTGAGTCAAAATAAGATCGAAAATCTCTGCGTGTTATGGAAATTCCAAGATGAAGTCACCAAAAATTTCATTCATCAATTGAATATTAAAACACAAATTCACCTTTCAATTGGTTAAAATAAAGCTACAAAAATTGAGTCATATCAGACTCTTTATCAAGAGTATTAAAGCAATAATTGAGAAATATGAACTATAAAACTACCTGGATCAAAAGGATCTCCAAAATGTCATGCAGATATGAAGAGAAAGTGTGATCCTAATCAAGCTACGGATAGGAAAGACTATAGATGGACTAAAGAGCACTTAATCAACAAAACTGAAAGAAAACCGCAAAGAATTCTAGCTCATAATTATGTGAAAATTAAAAAATTAATAAATAACATTTAAGCATAAATTGATAAGTGAATCGAAAAACGATAAAAAGTCAGAATTGTCCTTTTTCAGGAAAGGAAATTGAAAATTTCACTATGAAAAATCGATTATTTAAAATAGTTTTCAATTCACAAGTGAACTGAAATATTTAAAGAGCTAAAAACCCATAAAATATTGAAGAAATTGAGCATTTTGACCTACTCAAACTAATAATAGCTTGACAAGAAAACTATCCCTGATTAATTTAGTCCCATTTTACCTCTTCTTCACTTAAAATCCTCTCTCAAAGCATTTCTAATTGCAACCCAGAAACCCTTATCTTGACCAAACCCAATGGAAAGTTCTAGTCGTCTTGTCTCAATCTTCCTTCGTCAGGCTTTACCATCATTTAAGCATTGACAACTTCTTCCAAATCCTCACTTTTCTACCTCTTTTTATTGCGACAAAAATTCCATCAAACACAACAACATCTGAGATGACAAGGTTGAAGCCTTTACAAGGAGGTAAAGAAAAAAAAGGAAGAAGAATGCTGACAATTTGTGCATATTTCATATGGAAAAATCAAAGGAAAAATGTGTGACAAGATGTGTGTGTGATCATGAGAAATGATTACAATCTTCATCGCGGCAGTGTAATCAATCAGCGCCGTTCAGAAAGAGCTTGAATTTTACAGCTGTGCGCGCCTCAAAGTGTGAGATCAACGCTCCCTCATCCTTGGGCATGAGACATCTCTGCTCGCCCAAGGAGCACAGAGACCTTTCACACTTCTTTCCGCTCTTGTTAAGTTATATATCGCCAATTTACCAGAATAATGTGGTCCAATGATCCCCCAATGATATCTCGCAATTGGCATTTTCACACGATGAGTGTTTCTTCTGTCAAGCACGCGTTTTTTCTTATCTTTTCTTCACTTCCACTTCAACTTCACTTTTGAGGAAAATCCAATCTTTTCTCTTTCCCCCCCAAAAAACAACAACAATTACAAGAGATCCGCACGATATTTTACACACTCGACCATCGATTTCCTCTTGGCCTTGTTACACACTGAATCAGTTTTTCGGCAATTTCGAGCACCGCACGCAAGATCTTCCATCATCAACCATTCACTGTTAGCAGTGAACTGAAATGGAAAAAATATCTTTTCCACTAAAACTTTTTCAGACACTTTTGTGCCTCTCTTTTCTCTCACTCTCACACACATTTTGTCTCATCGTGCTTCTACCCGAAGAAAGACTCTCACAAAATGACCACACTTTATTAACATCGAAGAGACCTCCAAGACATGTTTGTCTGCCAGGTAACAGAGTTTGTCACTTTGCGAGGAGTGGAATTTTAAAGACAGCTTTATAAACCATCAAAAAAAATCTTTAAATTTCAAACATGAACAAAACTTCACGTGAATTAGAAACATTTTCCAATGAAAAATCACCCATAAATTTACCCCATTTCCGGAAACACACACACACACAGACAGACAAATTAAAACCTCCCAAGAAATTCCCACAACATATTTTGTACTGTTTTTCTTCTTTTCTTCTTCTTCTCCTCCTTGTGTGAATGAGATTGTCTGCATGTTGCAAATTTTACCTGTTGCTCACTCCCTCACACACATTCATCTCACTTCTTCAGGCGCGAAATTAACGGAAAAACTTCAAGCGAAACAGAAGAGGCAAAGATGCTTCCCATTTAGCTCACTTCTTCTTCTTCAAACTGTGTGTTTGATGAAATATTGATTTTTAACTGTGTTATAATTTTGCGAATAACTCTTCAACCATTTCAGTCATTGCATAATTTCTCTCTTTCTCTCCCTCTGTCTTCATCCAATTAAGAATTTCAAACTGTATTGAACAATGGGGCCAGTTTTCTTTTACAATTCATAAAAAATATGAGTGATTCTGTAGGTGTCATTTTGAATACAACACACACACAACATATATTCAAATCTCGCACCCTGATCCTTATCATGCACATTGTCCAGATAACAGTTTCCCTAATGAAGCACCATCCAATTAGCCAAAGTGATTTAGAAAAACAAGAGGCTTTATGTGAAAATCACTTCCTCTCTCTCTAAATCTTTAAGTACACGACAATGCAATTTCAATTTATGCATTCAAGTTCGTGAGAAAATTGATCTTTGCCAACACACGCAATCGATCGTTTCGAAGTGTTGTTGGATTTTAATAGACAGATTCCTTCAACTGCATCCAAAGACAGCTCGGGACTTAATAATGGACAGTCTTAAGTCTGGTCCAAGAGATATTATTGGAAGTGGTAAAATATTTACAAATTGAGGCATTTCTTGAAGCATTTTCAGTCAGAATTGAGTGTGATAAACACTTAAAAGAGTCTAAAAAAAAATGATTGAAAATGCATTTAAAGACGTTCAGAAGTGTCTGAAATGTGAAAGATTCTGCACAGATTTGTGTCCCTGCATTTTGGACAATATAATTCACAAACCTATTGATATTTCGAGTATTTTCACACAGAAACTTTCACTGGTATCAAAACCAGTGCAAAAGAATAATAAATAATCAAAAATATCCATTCAAACTTCACACCTATTTTGACGGTGCTGCAATTTATTTAAAGATCAATTATATTTACATTAAATTATGCAGTGATTCTGCAATCTAAATCTGTGCCATCGAATGTAAATATTTAGCTGAAAATGTGATTTTATTTCTGTTGCAAGAATTTTCACTCTAATTGGACTTGCTTCACTCTCTCAAAATTCACTTTTCAGAGAAGATTTTCACCCCCAAAAATAAACATCTCTTCCACAAAACCAATTTGATCATGTGATTAATGGGAAAATCATCGCGCGAGTCACCTCAATTAATAATCTAATCCTCTCTTTGCACTGCGTCATGAAAATGCGTGCGTTCACTCATTCATTCAGCATCCTCTGACGCCAATTCTGGTGGTGCGAATTGAGTGATTCTTGGCGCTGCACACGCAGGAAGTCGAGCAGTGATATTGGGAGCAAAAATTGCGGGAATCGCTCGCAGAGGTGAAGTTGATAATGTTAAAAATTCTCCAACGAGAAAACAGGTAGAGTGACAGTTAAATTAACAGCTGCTTGAAATTCGAATGAAAAAAATCCATTGCGCGCGTGCGAGAGAGAAGCACGATCGCATTTTCCATGCAAAAAACCCACATGACCATCTCACTCTCGCACAGGGGCGCTTCGAGCGATCGCAAATCACTCCATAAATAGCGAGTAATTGGCTGAAAAAGCAGCGAAACTGCACTGATGGCGAGCCAAAGCGCCCCACAGTGCCCCAATAATTTTCATCATCACCCGAAATGTGGGGAAAATGTGCCACTTACCTTCGCATTTTGACTGTTCGTCATCGCAACTGGTGGCATTCGGTCCACTGACGCCACTTTCTGAAGCACTTTCCATCGCTCCTCACCCACTTTGGGGCCCCGCAGACAGCTAGAGTGTCCAATTAGCACCGTCACCACGATCCCGAGTCGGGTAATTGACTGCCTATCACTCCGGAATGTCCTCAAAACAGCCTCCAAACGGAAACACTCCAATCAGACTCCAGTTCAAAAAAATGCCACACGACGCACCGCTTGATCCTCAATTTCACCCACTATTTCCTCAGATATTGTTTCACTTCCACACCAGAACACTGTTCCATGTCCCCACGGAGGCTCACAGCAAAGACTGATGTGAATTTTCACGGAAAAACCCGCTCAAAAGCCTCGCATTTCCCTCACTGAAGTGCAAAAGTGAACTGAAACAGTTGCCAGCCAGCGACAGTTTATCATCTTCACAGCGACACCAGCGCTCGTGTTTGAGCGGAGAATCATTTGTCGCTGAGTTTGAATTGGCGCTGAGATCAACAGAAATGTCTCCCGGGAATTCTCCAGAAATCCTTTAATCACGACATATTATCACACAACTACAGGGAGTCACACAGGGGGGAGTCAGTTGAGGCGCTGGTACTGAACGACGCCGCGGGCGCAGCACAGGAAGGGCGACGCGGCGGCCAGGAGCAATCCGGCGCCCACCCAAGGCCGGTGAAAAGCCCAGGCGAGGGAGGTGATCAGCAGCGCCAGCGAGAAGGAGAGAATGAGGTTCGCCGATACTGGATGTGCGGGATCCGGAGCGATTCGAGATAGATAACAATTATGTGCCACTGTAAACGAGATGATGACAGTCTTATCCTTGGTCTTATCAGTAGATGTTGATCCAACAGATCCAACAAGGGGATTTTGGGATTACTCACGAGCCACGTGCACGATGGATGCTGTGGCAGTGGCGGCGAAGAAGAGCAGCAGCCATCCGAAGAAGCGAATTGTCCAGGTGGTCATCCTCTGGGATTTATGCTCTTGCTTGAACGCGTCCGTGAGGCTGTGTTCGCCCTTGAACACCAGCAGAACGTGGCTTCCGAGGCTGGTCTGATATGGCACCAAGACGCCCTGCGAGAGGCGCCCCACGACGGTGTAAGTCTCCCCTTCCAGGCCCGCGAACGCAAACTGGATGCGAATGTCGCCAATCTCGGGATTCCACACGTCGTTGCAGTGATAATAGAGGCCCGAGTGGAGCTTCACGGCCGGATCTTCAGGTCGGCTGTCCGAGGTGAGCTCCACGAAGCTCGAAATGCGATCCTTCACAGCCACGCCCAGTTCGTAGTAGCCAATCTGGACGCGCTCCGCCACCTGTACGCGACTCTCCAGCGGAAAAGCCCGCGGATTGTGGTGTCCAGTGCGAATGTAGAAGTTCCGGGAGTCAATCAAGTGATCCCGCCAATCCATTGTGTAGTAGTAAGTCCGATCCTCAGTCTCCACCGAGGCGATGCTCTCGCCGTAGCGATGCTCCATCGTCTCCTCAATCCACTGGTACATCTGCACGCGTCTCTTCAGCTTCACGCTGTTCACCTGAATCCCATAATCCGGCTCCGTCAGCGGCTCCTCCGTCACCAGAGACCCCACAATATGCACCAAACGGCCCTCGTACGTGCTCTCGATCGGAATCTCCGCCATCAGCGACACGCCATCATTCAGGGCCTCGTCCAGTGCCAGAGTCTTGTGCACAGCGCGCCCCTGGAATCATTGGACACCCAGAGATTGCTGCCCGACAGGCGAGAGTGTGGTTATAATCAATACTACCTCATTCCAGAAGAGAAGACCGGAGCCCGCGACGAACAGAATGAAGCCGAAAGAGGCGACAAGCCAGTAAGCGCGGAACTGCTGAATCAGGATCATCTCTTTCACCGTTCTCGCATAATGGGCGAATTTTCACTGACTTTCCACCCCCGGGAGCAATGGCTGAAGTTTTTACACAAACAAATCAAAGCAAACACTGAGGAAAAAAAATCATTTGCGTCACGCTTACACTGTAAAATATTCGAATTCCAAATGCGCTTTATTCTTGCAATCTTCACAAATCTCTGACAAATCTTTAGTAATTACCGCCTTGTCCCCTGGGCGGGGCGCCCGGGGCTCCTCTCATCATGCCTGGTGGTGGTCCGCGGATGGGGGCGCCGCGCCCCATGCTTGGCGGAAGGCCGGGCATAAGTCCAGGCGGCGGTCCGGCTAGCATGTGTCTCATGGGCGGCGCAGCCACTTGTCCGCCTCTCCCCGCCGGCGCCATGTGCTGCTGCGACGGGCCACCAACACCCCTCACAGGTCCCTGAAGCCCTGCCGGCACCGCCGCCACGCTGGCTGGCATCCCGCGCCCAGCAGCTCTGCCCACACCCGGTCCCGGAGCCGCTCCCGGAATGGGAACGCGCGGAAGACCCTCCTCAGGCGGCGGAGGACCCTCAACGGTGAGCGAGACGATATTCTCGCCACGCAGCAACACAAATCCCAGCACTCTCTTCTCCTCCTTCTCCGGCAGTTTACTATTCTTGGGCCTGATCTTCCTGAACTCCTCGCAGTCGCCGAGAATGAGATTCATATGCTTGTCAAAGGCCTTGAATGTGCCGATGAAGGTTCGCGAATCCTGCAGGATGATCCTCACGCGGTAGTTGAGGTGCTGCATCATCTTGTTGTTCTTCCCGATCGTCTGTGAGTGGAGCCCCAGAGGGCGGAAAACGATTAGAAAAGTGGCCCCAAACATAACCTTCAACAACCCACGCTGAGGAAAACCACAACAAATGCGGCCTTTTCCACTATTTACGCATCACACTCTGTGCTACTCACCATCTTGACGGTTTGTGATTGCCTTTAGCAATACGAAAAGTTGCAAAAATTGAGGAAAATCCGTGTAAAAGCACGGAAAAGTGGTGCGCAAAGAAGCTTCTCCAAGCGATTTGTTTTGACGTTTTCCTGCCGGTCGTGTTGCGCATACCCAGTCACCAGAGGCGCTACAGTCGTCCCATTCGAGCACTTTTGAAATCCCTTAATAACCGATTATGATTATAATTAGAGACAATTTTTTTAAAGTACAGAGGGAAATATAATAAGAAAATTATCAATATATACTGCTTAGACTTCTTACGACTATATGGCCCTGCTTGGGACGTGAGGAAATCAACAGATCCGACATTGAGACGTATTTTTAACACGATTTCGCAATGTGCCTTACACACACTGCTTTTCCTATTCTCCGCAATGCGCGCTGCTGGCAGTGACAGCCGAATTAAGGCGAATTTGATAGGTTTCAACCTTCCAGCCGACACTGGAATTTCCAGACACATTACGTTTGTTTTGACGGATTGGCAGGTTTTCGCAACAAAAGACCTCTGATCTCCACTACCAGGAAGTGAAATCGGCGGAAGTGAGTACCTTAAAACATTCTATGACACCTAATCATTATGATTGTTAGAGGAAATTCACCCGAAAACAGGTGAAGAAGGCAGAAAAGATGGAAAACCTTCCACGACGCATCATAAAGGAGACTCAGCGCCTCATGCAGGAACCAGTGCCTGGAATCTCAGCTGTTCCGGATGAGACAAACGCCAGGTACTTTCATGTGGTTGTGGCCGGACCAAAAGACTCTCCCTTCGAGGGTGGCAACTTCAAGTTGGAGCTTTTCCTACCGGAAGAGTATCCATTGTCAGCACCAAAAGTGCGCTTCATAACGCGAATCTATCATCCCAATATCGATCGCCTGGGCAGAATTTGTCTGGACATTCTCAAAGACAAGTGGAGTCCCGCTTTGCAGATTCGCACGGTTCTTTTGTCTATTCAGGCACTCCTTAGCGCCCCAAATCCCGATGATCCACTGGCCAATGATGTGGCTGAGTTGTGGAAGATGAATGAGGCTGCAGCCATCCAGAATGCACGCGACTGGACCAGAAAGTACGCTTCAGCTTAGGTGTGTGGAGGAGGAGCGCGTAGAGAAAATTTGGCCAGGAAAATGACGAGGTTGGAAACTTGTTGGAAAAGCTGTGCACTATTTGGCTCAAGATCACTCCTAGTTTGTATGTAATTCGCCACGGCGGAGGAATACTGAAGTATTTTAAACAATAAATCACGTTTAGGAGTACATCTTGGCGATGAGAGGCTTTTCATTTTGGCCCAGGAAGTGGCATTTTGGGGGGTGGGGGAGATGAGGTTCGCGATTCCCAGCTCCGTCGTTGAAGGGTTTCCCATGACTCATGTGTTTTGACAACCCACTAATCTCTGCAGCTGAAGAATTGGGATTTTCATCGGGATAAAGAGCCATGGTGAGTTGGGGTGATTATTCAGGGATGTTCTGGCCAACAGATTCCAACGAGGTTTGGTTTCTCTTAACAGCACGGACGCCTGAAAGTGAGGACGACTGAGGAGGAGGCTGCCCGGAAGAAGGTGGAGCAGCAGGAGAAGCTGAAGGCATACAAGGAGGCTATGGCGAGGATTCAGGAGAAGAGGACAGCCAATGAGCTGGACAAGGAAATGCTAGAACTCACTAGGAAGCTGTTGAGCAGTAATCCTGACATTTACACGCTGTGGAATATCCGCAAGGAGTGTTTTCAAGTGATGAGAGAAAGTCTTGGCGAGGAGGAATTGAAGGACCTCCACAAAGGTGATCTGCTCTTCACTGAGCAGTGTCTGCAGGTGAATCCAAAATCTTACGGTGCATGGCATCATCGTGGCTGGATTCTGGAGACTCGTCCGGATCCCGATTGGAAGCGCGAATTGGAATTGTGCACGAGATATCTCAAGTTGGACGAGAGGAATTTCCTCTGCTGGAACTACCGTCGCTATGTGGCTGGAAAGGCGGGAGCGACACCAGAGAGCGAGTTGGCATTCTGCACACAGAAGATCCAACACAATTTCTCCAATTACTCCTCCTGGCACTACCGCAGCAAGCTCCTGCCCGGACTCTTTCCACACGAGACTGATCACGAGCGGCCCATCAGCGAGGAGAAGCTGCGCAGTGAGTTGGAACTCGTCCTGACGGCAGCATTTACAGACCCAAAGGACAGCAGTGCCTGGTTTTACCAACGATGGCTTCTGGGACACTCGGAATTGCCTCTGGATTTGGCTGCTTATCGCCAACAGGACGACTTCGCCACTGTGGCCTTCACGAAGGCAGTCAATCTGCACAACTGCCAGTTGTCCGGAGGTATCTCCGGCTGGAAATCAGCGTCTGGGAGTGTTTATGACACCACATGGACGCGGCAGCAGACAGAGAATCCCGGGAATGAGCTGGTGTTCACGGATGACGCCCAGAAGGAATACAGAATGGAGATTAAGAGTGTTGGAAAGGTGTTTGTGGGTGTGAAGCTTCCGAAATTCGGTCACATTTTCGGGTCTGTTGTGTTGGATCATCTGAAGGAGCAATTAGACTCTTGCAATCAACTGCTGGAGTTCGAGCCGGACAGCAAATGGACGCTCTTGACTGCTGCCCTGCTCATGAGAGCCATTGACAGGAAGGCTTACCATGCCAGAGCACTGGAATTCCTGAGGAAACTCCAACTTGTGGACACTCTGCGCAGTGGATACTACGATGATTTGGCCAGCAAGTGGGCTGCTGAGCAGGTTATCGAGAAGTGGATTGAAGAGGGTGACTTTGACGCTCCCATCGATTTATCCGCCATCAGGATCACCACAATTCCCTATGAACAGTTCATGAGTGTGGCGACTGAAGTGAACTTGGAGGGAAATCAGCTCACGGACAAGAATTTGGCCAAACTCGTGGCTCTGCAGAACTGCAAGGTGATCAATTTGAAGGATAATCGAGTGAGTCAGGAAGCCGTCGAGGCGCTGCGTGGAAAGCTTCGCGACATCACAATCTTAGTGGATTAGAAATTCTGTATTTTTTCTTTTCTTCAACGGGACCCAAGAATTGATGTTTTTTTTTTGTAGGAATAAAAATTGCTTTCTCGTAAAATTTTTTGTGTGTATTTTTTGTCCTTTTTTTTGCTCCTCTATTTCAATTAATAAGAAGATTTACAGTAAAGAGACAAGTATTTAAAATTACAAGATTGTTTATCCAACTATAAATAAATCAAAGATGATGTTTTTTCGCATTTTTCCATTCATTTTCACTTTTTTTTTTTTGCCTTTTTCTCGTGCATACCGCGCATTTTTCTTTGTCAATGCTCTCTTTCTTCCATTACGCAATATAAATACCACTTTTATACATTTTACACATCTATACGCAGAATTGATTTCATTATCTTCATGCTGAGAACATTTTTTCTTTCTCCTCTGCAAGAACATTCAGACACTTTCTTTGTTAAAATTCACATAATTATTCCTTTTATGTCATCTATATATAATTCAACATTCATCACTATGGGCAGGGGGGGGGGATTCAAATGGGTGATCTCTCTTCACAATTGAACGCTAAAAACTATTATTTACTCTTCATTGTAAAGAGGGGGCGGCGCGAGAGGGTGGAGAAGGGAAGTGATATTTTCTTGTCACTAAGATTCTAAACAATGACAGCTTTTTTTTTCTCACTCCTCTCGATTAAACGACTCTCACTAAAAAATTATTTACACAAAATACGGGAGGGGTGTACTTCCTTAACAGCATTGCGGATTGAGGGTGAAAAAACTCAGCTGCTGGACTTTTTTTTTATTACTATAAGAAATTTTAATTTAATTATTGTGTGCATTCTAAGAATCACCGCACGTCTAGTTAATTTGTTAAAAATCTATAATTTTTTAGTATTTGTCGAGAAGATTTCTTTAAATATATACACAAAGAAAAAAAGAAAGATTCCTTATCAATTGAAACTCAATGATAGTGTGTGTGCATTTTACCCAATTTTTGCAAAAACGGGAGTAAAAGTTCACTTGTGAGAGAAGAAAATTCATCAGTTTCACAAATGTTATTATTCTTATCATAACAATATGAATTTTTTGCAAATTTTATCAGGTTTTTATGCTTTTTTTTTTACTCTCCACCTCGCATTTTTCTTCATTTTTTTCTCTCTCTTCTTCTTCATAATGCCTTACAACTCCACTTCAATTATGACACGACAAATCTTATGCAATTATGCTCTGATTTTTCCAAATGTGATTAACAAATTGTGTTAACATTTTTTTTTCGAATTAAAACGCCTCTCTCCTCCCACTAATATTACTGATTTTTCTTGCTTTTTTTCTCTCTTTTTTCATTGAACACAAATCTCATTCGCCAATTTTTTTTTTTCTCTTCTTCTTCTTTTTAATAATATTTATACCGATAGACACGACAATCTACGAAGAAACGTTCCTTCTCTCTTTGCAATATTTTGTATATAAATGTGTGTGCTTTGCTTTAAGAGAGATCAAAACTGGGAGAGAAGGAGAAATTTTGGGAAGTGTTCGCGCCCTGATTCTCTCTCTTTCTTTCTCCCTCTCTCTCCAGAGTCCGGGGAATAATCGCCAGTGGTCCAAACCATTTGAGTCCAAAGCCATTTGCTTTCGTCATGTGCCAGTTTAGCACTTGCGATTATTGTTGGCGCGACTGGCATTCTTAGAGTGTTGCTTGTCCGAGCGCTTCTGGCGGCCATTCTTGGCGTTCACCTCATTGGTCTTGTTGGATCTGATCAGTGCATTCCGACACAACTTCTGGCGTATATTCTTCTCGTGACTCTACAAGACACAGAATCAGAACAATTTACATTTAATTTGTGCTCAATTCAAACCTAACCAAAGTGAAAAAAAAGACTGTGAATGTGGATCAATATATCTTCAGTTTTCATTGCTTTTGCATTGTCCCGATGTTGATTATCTCTCAAAACCCACTAAAAATGCAATTTAAATTTTGAAATGCTCACTTTTGGGCCAAATGTTAGTCAAGTAGTACTTTTCTTTATAAAGAATTACACAATATCTCAAGATAATCAAAATCGATCAATGTTTTTGAATTTACTCAACTTACAAGAGATTCAAGATGGGAAGAACATCAAACAATATTCAGAGTATTGCAAATTTTGCTGTGAAACTAGAAGTTCTTCTATACTTCCAAAGATTCTATTGATTATCTCTGATATTCCACCCACTTGAATGTCAGGCCTCTTCCGATTCCCTCTACAGCTAAATGTCTAAATATAATCACAAAACATCAAACACTTGAAGAGATGAGTATGATTTTCTCTTAAATTATGACCAAGTGATTGATTTATTGGATCATACCAATGGATATGTTGTAATGCAACTCAAAAGAACTTCCCAAATATCCTAAAAGTGGGAGTTTTTACTACAAAAATAAAATGTATTTTTGGTTGTGAAATGGAGATTTTGGCCCAAGTTACACACACAGAGAGTGACAAGCATGCCAAAAATTCCAGAGAATGAAGTGTGTCCAGCGTGTGGTATGTTAGAATTGGAGAGGATTCAGAGAAACACATTCAAGGGGGAGGGAAAAAAAGGTAGAGAGGATATTTGAAGTCGAAATTACCATTTGAGCAATGCGATACAAATAGCCCTGCTTCTCCTCCAACGACACAACGCCAGCCGAGCGTCTGACCCTGGCCGTGACTCGAGTTGTCTGCAAATGAAGATACAAGTGATAGTGTCTCGTCCGGCAATGAGCAATTCATTCCTCAACCGGCAAAATTCGAGCAAGCAAAAGCAGGACTTATGGCGTGGGAGAGGTTTTTCTTCTTTTTTTTTTGTTCTTTTTAGTGCGCCTAGAGACAGTGTCTCCCCTTGACAATTTTCTCAAGCTTCTCCAATTCTCAATGCCAATTCATTGGGAGGGTAGAATGGGGGGAGAAGAGACACAGGGCGGGAGCGAGAAAACCAAAGCATGCAAACCAGAAAATGAGAGAGTGATGAATGATTTGGGGTGGATGGAGGATGAGAGATAAGACAAAGTGTTGGCTTACATGATTGACGATCCTCTCGTCGGCCGGATGGGGTTGATTCTCCTCGGCCTCGTAGTTCAGCACGACCATGTCGTTCTCAATGGGCTGAGAAGGGCCCCGGATGCTGTGGTACACAGACATGCTGCCCAAAATAAACACAAGTGTTAAGTCAAGGGAGAATCCCACAGGAGCGCCACAAACTCACCTCGGGTGCTCAATCAGGAGATTCTCGAGAGGCGACGTCTCCATGTGAATGGGTCCCTGGGTGCCCGTGAAGCAGGACGGAGGCGTCACGAACCAGGACTCCTCCATGGAAGTGAGACCCACAACATTCGGCGGCTCGGCATGGCGATTGTGGCGCGCCTTGGTCACCAGTGGGCTGTTCTTTATCTCAACAATGGGCAACTCCTCCTCAGAATCCGTGCGCGGGAGGCTGACGTCGTCCTCGGCAATGTTGTCACGCTCCACCAAGAGCCAGTCGTCGTAATCGTCGTCAGCAACGGTGTGCAGTAGATTGTGTTGATCAGCTGACGGTGAATCCGCGTCTCCAGTTCGATTGTCGTGCTTCTCCTCTTGCTCCTTTTTCGTCCCACAAGTGCTGCTGCTACTGATCGAATTTCCCAACAAATACGATGCCAATGTATTGAACATTATACAGTGAATCCCGACTTTCTCTCGAGACTTTTCGTGCGCTTTTGTCCTGGGCGGTGTGTCGAGATTGGGCTGTTCTTTTTCTTTTTCTTCTTGTTATTGGCAAAGTCTTGTGTTGACTGTGTGTCTTCTTTGCAGCTCTCTCGAGATCACAGAAAAGCAAATTCAATCCACCAAATCTTCAGAATGCAACCCTCAGTCTTGTAGCTCAGAGAAATTCAATGTAGGTCACCTTCACAGTAGTTTCTCTCCCCAAAAAAATTATTAAATACAGTCCTCACGCGACGATGCCTCACCAATTGCCCCTTAATATTTGTTAAATATTTTAAGAAAAATGTATGCGATAAAGATTTGTAGTGTTGTATTGTTCGTTATCAACAGCCGTTTATCAGGTTTTTCTGGAAACAAAGAGACAAAACCATTTATAATACTGACACATTTGCATCTCCCTCAAGCTCTCTCTCCTCGTCTCCTTCTTCCAAGATATCCCCGGCATTATCAGCACGTCTGCAGCATGAGGTTGTCGAACAGTGTCGTGGCAAATAATGACCTAATATCGCGCAAGGAGAAGTGGGGACATCCCTCTGGACAGCAGAGAGAGAGAGAGATGTCCCCAAAATGTCCGACAGAGGCAGAAAAAAGAGAAACTTCGGCACAATTGTACACAAAAAAAAAGATATGCCCAACAAGAACACAACACTTGTGTACACAATGCAATTGGACACGCTCAGTAATCACACAAACGCGAAATTTATTGCTTTCTCCGACGATGCCATAATTCCATCCGCGAAATAGAGGCACACAAAGAGCCTCCCGATCAACACTCTGGAACACCCTCAGCAATCTGACCCCCGCCACAGCCACAGCCAGACCAGCAAACTTGCAGCCAGAGTTGAATGGATTTTGGGACAAAGCGAGAGACTTTTGAAGGTGAACTGCATGAGCAAGAAGTTAGAATAGAACACAATTTCAGGCGCAAAAAAGTCCACAGAAAAATATAAAAATCACACAACAGAGATTAAAAAAAGACTGCACAGAGTTCACCATAAATTTGATTGCCCCAAAATTAACTCTCCTCCGTCTCTCAAGCATGATGAAACGTCCACTTTTTATTTGCATATACAACACAACACAAACACCGCGTGTGTACACGGGATAAAGAGTCATTAAGAATTTCCCCATATATTTCAGAGGGCTATTTTTAACCCACTCGCGCCTCAAAGTCAATCGAACTGCAATCTCGGGCGGGATATTTTTCTCCCCAAAAATCAGCGATAAATCAGCGATTGATGATGTTTTCTGCCTGCTGTTCTCGGTACCCAATTCAGTGCATTTATTGCGCAATTAAAGCCACTTTGTTCAGTATCGCTCTGCCAGCTCAAATTGCTCTGATATATTTTTTCTTCCCTTCTTTTATCTCTATTCAATGCGCACAGTTGTCTTTTTGTCACCGCGACTCCACACAACATAATCATCTTATTCATGCAAAAATAGCTCTGCCAGAGTAAATGCGCGGTTTATTTTCCAGTGCTGAATTATATTTATTCAAGTGCTCAAGACTGTGTGTCTTCAGACCATTTTTCATTCACTCAAAACATGATTGAATGGATGAGACATTGCCAAATAGGGATATAAATAGGAATTTCCTTTGTCTGCGCGCGCGATGCTGTAGTTTAGCGCAAGGGGAAGATATTACAGTCAGAAGTGGTGTACAGTTAAGCAGAAGTACTTAGTACTTAAGAAGTAGGAGTTCATCAAAAATTCATCAGAGTAATTTTTTTAGGTTTTGTGATATATGAAAGCCAAAACCTTCTTCCAAAAATCATAATTATTGTCAGAATTAAGCATTTTCATAAAATAAAGAACACGATTTTGGTGTTTTTGCCTTCTCAAAAACGTTCAAATTGCACGAAAGATAAACATAACCACAAAAATGTGGTTTAGGTTTGAAAAATATCAATTTTTAGAGTTTCTTTCACCAAATATTGATTTAAAATTATCAATTTTGAAGCTTATAAGAGAATTGTAATACTTGACAATAAAAAATTTGTATATTTTGAAGTTTCCTAATGTCGTTTTTTAGGTTATGATCGAAAAATTATCCAGAAAAGTCAAATTAAATAGTTTTTTCTACAAAAATACTCATCGAGAACTTGTTAAATTTCTTATTCACCGTTGCAAATTTTATTTTGTACACTGTTTAGCCTTATTATCTCCCCCTTGGTTTAGCACACCAACACTTTTTTGGCCGCCAATGTCGAAATACAGGCTTGAATTAACCCTTTGCAAGCATTCATATCATATTTTCAGACTTTATCTCTCATATCTCATCCGAAACAGAGACATAAACAACAAGAGCCAAAATTTCCCATGATGATCAAGTTGAATCTTATTGAATCATGCGAATCATGTGATTAGTACAAGAGAGAAGAGTGGCAGTTTTGAGTAAACATTGGCACATAAAGTTAGATGAAATGCACCAGAAAAAAGTCCTCTAGAAATGATTAATTCCAACCACACGAGATAGAGTAAATTTAGAGTTACCAATATTCAGTATCTCTGGTCAAATGGTCTGCTCTGCCCCTTGTTCTAATAGTGTTATAAATTTTGGGGAAAAACACACGCGCGATTGTGAGTATCATTAACAACGCCATAGCGTCTGGCGATAGCGTTAGAGTTGTTTACGAATTTTTTCAAGTGAACCCAGAGAGAGTTGACAAGAAGTGGAAACACACAAAAGTCCATTGACCACATGATAGAGGAGTTCCTGTCCGCCACTCTTGATATTATCACACTTCAAGAGGTGCTCCATCATATTTATCCCTGGAAAATTTTATCACGCCACATTCCCTTTCACCCCTTTTTGCCTAACATTCCGTAATAGTGTGATTTTTGGGAGACACAGCAAATGTTTACTTATTAATTTCTGATAACGAATTAATCGCATTTAATAGTGTGAAGTATTTTCTCGCTCATATTTTTCCACTCTCGCTTTATCACCAACCACTCACGATACGGATGAGAAAATGAGACATTGTTTAGTGGAGCACAAAAACACATCTTTTTTTTCCCCTCTGTTGTAAACTTTATCAGTGCTTCGTGAAGAAACAACAACATTCACACAATATTCTCACGACAGAAAACAGTGAGAGAGAATTGATCGAATTCTTGGCGATTTCACAACAATTTGCAAGGATTGCAACATATTTTGTTCATTTGCCATTATCTAAATACTGATGTGATAAAATACAAGATAATTTACCTCTCTCTAGTGATATAAAAATTTACTGCATGGACGGATTGAAGATTTATATTTTTCAGTTGTCAAATGATGCAATTTTTATACACAATTTCACTCTCTCTTTGCAGAGTCTCTCTCTCTCTCTCTCTCTTGAAAATATACACAAAAGTTTGACTTTCAAACTCTTTCTCAGGTTTTCTGTTCTTCCTTCCAGAACGACTGAATATCAACTGATATTCGTCGTGTGGCCTTTGAAAGACTCATGCGACGCGCAACTTAATCCCAGTGGCGATAAATAAGCCACACACATAATATTTGTTGAGAATTGAGTATCTGCTGATGCTTTTGGCTTGTAGTGAGAATGGAAAATATGTGAAATGGCGCAAAAACAGCCAAAGTGCCAAAGAAAAATCAGCTGTTTCATCCACACAAACACTCACTACTGCGTAAAATCACATGTTTTGTTTACACACGCCTGAGGAGCTCTCTTCTATTTTTTCCTCATCTACACCGAGGCGGTGGGTGGGGGGCTTTTCTTGGAATTTCCCTCACACTCTACGCGAGAAAAATATAACTTCTATATACACACACTTTCCCACCTCGTGCGTAAATTGCGCTGATTGGGAAGGAAAAAGCATTAAAAATACTTGTCGATCTGATGGCTTTTTGATGTCGCGCGCCGTAAAGACGAGCGGCAATTTGTTGCGAAACCCCCCCCCCCCCTTCTTCTTCTTATTTTGATTTGTGGTGTGATATGAGTTGAGAATTCAGTTTTATTAATCATTCACACAGCCGAAGGTTGATTGTCTATTCATGCCCTTTACGCGCGCGCAATCCAAGAGCACTCATTAGCAAGTCTTTTTTCCCCTCTTACGCATTCATAATTTTTTACGCAATTTACAATTAAATACGCACAATTTAAATTAACCACATCGCGAGAGGGCAATTTTTCTCAACTGTGTGTGGGAGGGAAGAAAGAATGACTATAGTTGCAGAGTGAATTAGATGAGGAGCAATGCAAAGTAAGACGAATGCAACAACGTTTGGTATGCTAAATTGTAAATAATACAGCACAATTAGAGTAACGCAAGGAGAAAAGGCCTCTGTAAACTAGCCAAACACATCGTCTTCGTATATTGTCTTAGTGGAAACTCACAATTACACTCATGCATGCGTTTCCTTAGACACAAAAAATATATATAATATGAAATGCATGTGAAAATTCACTTCAATGTGAAATTAATTATTAATTTTCAAGTAATCAGAGTTGAATATCTTCTCGACAACATAGATGAAAGATCTCAGGTAAATAGACAATCTAAACCATTAGCAACTCTGTATAGAATTTCGTCACATTTTCTAATGAAGCAATAGAAAAATCATCAATAGAGAGGTGGGGAAAAAAAATATGAAAAACAACAAACGGCAACCTTTAACCATTCATTCACGCCTGAACTTGATAAATTTTCACACTGATGTTCACCTGCGCGAAGGAGAACCTTCGCGTCGTCTTGCGTCTAATCTCAGCCATCAACATAGCGTTTCACAATTATTTTTGGCTTATGCCCACCAATTAATACACTCTCAAAGAGATTCTCCTATAAATAGACCTTCTTTCACACTGACATCATAGAGGAAGAGTGTAAATTCAATTAGGATCTCTCTCTCTCTCTCTCGGGGTATTAAAATTAATGATTTTAAAATGCTTTTGAAGAGCGCAAATTGATATCCCAGAAATGACTTACAAGTCACCCCAATGTAAAAATCATGATGGTGAATTTCTCTCTGCAAATTGCCATCAATCAGTCATTTTTCCATGATTTTATTGAATGAAAAGTATGCCAGAGTTGCAGTTATTGCAATATTACCCTCTCTAATTGTATGCAATTCCTTCTCCAATTCGTCACATTGTCTTATTTGTCGAGTGAATTTCCTTTTCTCTCTCTCTCTCTCTAACTAAGCAACTCACCAAACTCTCACTTCCAATCAATCACCAACAACATCATGCCAATTGTTCATGAGGTATACAAATGTATAGTGAAAATGCAACTTCTCTTTGATACACATTGCCGCACCTCCGTGAAAAATCACACATGTTTTCCCTTCAATTTACTCCAATCGCACACACCAGATACATTCGAGGAGAAATTGCAATTTTATATCGAACAAAAGCTTATGTAATGTCATTGCAGTTGTTGCTGAGGAAAGACTCTGAAGTGGCAGAAACAATTAAGAGAATATTTGGCCGATGAAAACAACATTTTTTTCATATTTTTTCTGCTGCAAGAACAATACGAATGGCAACCGACTTTGTGACCCTGTGACTCACAAATGACTGTCTGAGTGCTTCGAGCTTGATTCAAGAGGGGGTTTAGAATCGCGCATTTCAATGGCTTGTGGTGGAAACAGCTGATAAACTGTTTAGACTGACTGTCTGTCACAAAGAAAATGCGCTATCGCTACAGCTAAATTTACAATCCCTCCTCTATCAATTGCATCATGCTCGTGGCCCGGAGTTGACACTGTGCGGTGTCTTAAGAGTTGTTGGATCGAAACTTGAGGATGGAAAATGCCATTTATTCCTGCCTTATCACGCACACTGATACCCAAACAAATGAGCAACCTTGAGACTTTGCACGAAATACACTTCCCAAATATCACTTGAGAACATTTCCACCAACACCATGGCGCAATTACGTTTGGACGCTATGGAAATATCATGGAGAGATACATAAATTGCCTGTAAATTACAGATGCAATTAAACTCAATAGAGCTAATGTTGAGTCATCAGTGGTCTCTTTTTTCTCCACCGCGCGACCATCACTGCATCATGGCATTTCACAGTTAGAAGACTCTCATTAATACAATTGATACGAGTTTTCCTTTTGCATTTCTTTTCCACACGGCTCTTGTGTGCAATTGCTGAGAAAATGCGAGACAATTTTACACCTGAATTGCCTTCTCTCACTGTGGGTCAAACTAAATAGATCAATGTGGATTTTCTTCCTTTTGCTTTAGCAATTTAAAACATTTTGAGTAAAGTATGTCTACATATTTTTGCTGTACGTTAAATTACAACAAACTATATTAAATGTGGTAAAAATCTAATTCAAAGGACTTCTTTTTCTCTTTTAAACTCCACCTATCTGCAAGCGCCGCCTATTTGTTGGACAATTAAAGCCTTGGCCATGGGTAAAGAGGCTCAATTTTAATGGAGGAAAAGTCGTGATTTCACTTCTAAACCCATTTGGCTCTCGAAACTCAAAGAGATGGTGGGAGAGAGAGAGAGATGTTCGTGAGCCAGAATCACGTCAAAGTGAGAGAGCGCATCAGGCTAAAAATGTCTCACCTCCATCGGGTACAGTTCAAAATCAAGGTTGAGAAGCATGCGATAATGCCACATTTCAGCTGATCCAAACAATTGAGCAACAATTGCTTCCCACCTCTTAATTTTAGCGTTACAATTATTTCAAATTACCTTCTTTGCACCTCCCTGTGAATTGGTGAAAATTTCCAAGAAAAACAATTTCATCGTGTTGTGCAACTTGGCGTGTCTCTTTGCGAGTCAGAACGCGCGCGCCTCTTTGGGTGGGAGAGACAAAGAAGAACCAAAGCGCGCGTAATGCCCTGAGGAATTGAAGGACACCGAGAGGACTACAGTCTCTCTTCTTCAGAGGCCAGCCATGAGAGCAAGTGTGTACAGAGCTTTGTCTCATCACTGCCCTTTTGCGGAAGGTAGAGAGGTACAATTTCTCGCTTCTCGGAGGATTTCTCAATGTTGCGCTCATTCTCTGTTCTTTGAGAATAACCATTCTTAAGTTTCTCACACTCTGCCATTCTTCCAATCTTCTCCCCACCACCACCACACTCTCGCGAACCGTTTTTTACATCTCCTTTGTATGTATGTGCGCCCAGATGATCACCATATACATATGTTTATGCGCACAAGAGGCGAAGCATAAGCTCTTCGCCTCTTGCTTCGCCACTCCCTCTCTCCTCTCTCTTGCCTAGAGAAGCAGCGCGGAGAAGATTTCTCATATGAACTTTGAACCTCCGCTGTGGCCAACATGGAAAAAAAATGCCAGGCACGGATAGTGTCACAACGTTTGAGTCTTAATGTGATGAAAATTATGAATTTAATAGGCAACATTTGTCATGAGCAGAATACACAAGCAGAGTCAGCTGCATATGACGCTTCAGCTGATCAACGAGTTAAACCACTTTCGCACATCACGCTGTATTTTTGTGGGGAGTGTAAATTACATCCACAATTTGTCCCACATTTATCCAATATAACCTCTCTCACTCACTCTCTCTCTCTCTCCATCTCTTTCTTTCGAACACTTCAACACATCACAAAATTATTTATGCTCCCAATTGAACTGCCTTTGTTTATGTGTGAGTGCATATGCACAGAGCATAAGCTTGAGATGGAAACAAAAACAAAAAAAAACCACTTCTTTGTTCGCTTTTTATCCATCAACTCTCTAGGCTTTTCCTTGAACATTTTCCTCACTTACCACAATTTTCACTCATTCAATTGCATAACCATACAGACTTTTGCGAACACGTAAAAATTCTGTCATGATACGAAAATAAAATATCATCTCACCCCCTCAAAAACTGACTCTCTCTCTCTGTGTCGCTCTTCTCCTGAACCCACACGACCTCCTGCAGAGTCGCGACCAGGACAGTAATTCTTCACCCAAACCGTGTGCCTCTCTCACGTCAAAGTCAAGGAAAAAGGGTTTCCCACTCTCTCTCTCCTCCCTTGTCTCCTCATACTTTGCCTTTTTCAAGAGCAAATGGCAAAATTTTCCGTGATTTCGTGCCAAAAATAAAAACCCATAGACGTTATTTAGTATAAATAAAAACAAAAACCAAACGAGACCTTGAACACTCTCAGATCTCACTCCCCAGGTTTTGTGTGCCTCAACACACAGATTTGCTCGGCTACTTTGGAGGCAGAATAGCGTCATCAGCTGATTAAATGTCAAGTTGCAATTTAGACAATAAATTCTCTCCCAACTCTTCAAATTGCCCAGCTCCCGCGGGATTTGCTGTCTTACCCACCCAAAAATGACTCCTCATCAGATAGCAAGAATTTCAGCTCCAAAGGTCACAAATTACCTGAAACAATCTAACCTTCCAAGCAAAGAACTGACTCAGTCGCTCTCTCTCTCTCCCACTCGCACCCTCACACACATTCGCCATAGCACACCTCTCCTTATTGATCCCCCCAGCACGGAACCCGTGATTCCGTCCAGGATCCCATTGCGTGGAATTTGCCTATCTACAGCTCAATTTGCGCTCAATGTTGCCCTGTATTATGCAATTGAAGCAAGATGGCGTCGGATTTTTCCCACTCATACGTGCAATTTTCCCTCGACCCGTGCTCGGGTGTCCCGGGGAAAAAGGAGAGGAGGAGCATCGGAGCCCCGAGTACAGTGAAAAAAAATTAGAGTAGTAAATTTGGGCTTACTCGTCAAATCTCTTCCCCGCAGCTCTTGAGCGCGCACACAGCACACGAAAATATCTTTCAACAACAACACACTTCTCTCTGGATAAATAAATTTGTGCCTTATTATGCCTCTCCTCACTCTGTGTGTTTCTAAATAAGTAAAATTTTTTTGTATCTTGTATATATGGAAACAACGATCGAACTAGATTCGGGACGCGCTTTCAGCTGACTAACATTGCCATCTCCTCTCTGCACTTGGCCAGCCCAGAGCGAAGAAGCTCCAACACACACCAACACCACTCACTGTCCCTAACTCACAATTGCGCATACACTCAACCGTCATTTACATCACGAGGAGAACACACCACCGTCACCTCTCTGTGCGTACAAACACACGCAAGCGTACAGTAGGGTCTCATTGCCTTCTCTCAATTTTGCCAGATCCCTTAGATGGGACACAAAGAGAAATATAGCATAAGCCCCATTCCTCTCCCTACAGCGGCATTCGACATATGCTGCATGGCAATAGTTTCCCTTTTTCCAATACAAAACAAAAACACCCGACGACCACGACACGACTAAATAGCAGGAATACAACCAAATGATGCTCTCTCTTTGTCATGACTTCTCTCCTCCCCAATAAAAATATGCTGCCAAGCTCAGTAACTCTTCCACAAATGTACGCGAGATATCGATTGGCTTTAGGAGAAAGATAGGCAATTTCGAATCCCATATTAGACTTGCTAATTATTTACCTATTACTACAATACACTGAAACCTCAAAGGTGTGTCTGTGCACTTTGAGTAGTTACAGAACTAAAAATGTTGACAAAAGAAACCTTATTTAATAACAGCAATATTATATTCAAACGTAAGTATTCAAACATAAGTCTCAATTTGTTTTATAACTGTGTGAATCTGAATTTTAACACTAAAGACTTATGGAGTAATTCTCAGTAACACATGTTAAACTTCAAACATGTAAAGTTTAACATTTGAAATTAATAAGAAAAAACAGCCCGTGTTATTGTCGCTAAAACAATGTTTTAGAGTTTCAAGCGACACCAATATGTGTAAGAGAGGAAAAATGGTGAAAATTCAAGTAAATATTTAGTAAATCTACGATAAAAAGAATTTACTGCAAGTATATTTTATGTTTATGCCCTAAAATGAGAGTTACAATGATAGATTGATCCATTTTTGCAAGATATTTGCAGATTCCCATCTGTTATTTTGTGTTTTACACATTCAATGAAACCATATAACACATTTAGGCGAATGAAAATGGTTTAACACATTTGAATTTATAGTGAATCGCCATTTTGAGTCTTACATGTGTGACTCCGATTAGCAATGACGTGTGTTAAACCAATATAACACATTTTTACATATTTTGTGTGACTGAGAATTGCTCAAATCAAATTCATCCGTCCCCAATTTCATTGCAGAATTTCCCAAAAGAAAACCCAACGCAATAATTCCACAAAACACAGTGTAGGTACAAAAAGTAAAAAAAAAAAAGATTAGGGCAGAGATATTCGCGGTTCATGAATAGCTAGGTATGTTGAGCTAGTTAACTCGTCTTCAGCAGAGAATCTTTCTGCAAAGAGTTACTCAACCTGGACAAAATGGTATCATTTTCAATCACAAGTACCCAACCAATACATTCCCGCACGAGGCGAAGCCACATCTCACAAAACAGTCCAGCGAACAGCAGACAATGACTTTTGTGCCACTATTTTCATTTTGGAGCAACAGCAAGCAAAATAGTCTCAAAGCGGCAAATATCAAAATTGCTGGACTGAAAAGGGTCTTCATTTGCATTCGAAATCTCTCTCTCGCTCTCTGTGCTCGTTTTTTTTTGTCTCCGTCTTCCTACTCTAATATTAAATTATGCTGACTTTTATCATTCATCGCGACTTGTTTTGAAAAAAACAAAGCACGCACACACACACAGAAAGAATGAAGAGAGAGATTGAATAGCTTGCGAAGAGTTAATGTTAGAAAATGTGGAATATTCTGTTCTTTTTCAAGTCGCGCGATGCCCACTAGAGATATACTTCAATTCGCATCAATTGTCCAAAGAGCTTTTCAAAGCATGCACACAACTCGTGGCATCAATCAAAAATCTGTATCGTCAACATTTGCTCTTTTCACTCTTTTGTCTCCTGCCCACTCTCTCCCTCTCTCTCTCTCAATTCACTGGCCATAATTATTATCCCTCTCGCGCGCTTTCGAAATGTTCAGAAAAAGAAAGAAAAAAGGTTGCATTTGTTCCTCTGTAAAATGGAAATCATCGACAACTTAAGCGTTAATGTCCAAAATGCAGTTGCTCTTTTCAATGGAAACGTGAGCTCTCTTCTTTTATTCACGAATTTCTTCCATTTTACATTACAACAAATCCGTTGTAAGTGTAATATTCTTATCTGTTAGATTTGGCGACTCGCTCCAGTTCGTCCTTCTTCTTGATCGCATACGAGTTGGATGAACCCTGTTAGAAAAAAGAAGAAAACAAACAAACACACATTTAGATCACTTCTATATCGGGGGCTTTTCTTTTTGGCTCTCATGAGAGCGTTGATGAGGAAATTATTGTTCCTAAATTTTCCACTGTATCTTGGCTTTTAATCACACTGACACAAGGATATGTCTAAAGGATTTGTTCTTGTCCATAAGCGAAACTGAACCACCAGTGCGAATATATAAAGTAATTCAGCATTTTGAAAGGACTTGCAATGGGAGATTTCTAGAGCAAATGATAAATTCACCTTCTCAGCGTTGATGAGCTCGTCAGCCAAACACTCAGCAATGGACTTGATATTCCGGAAAGCAGCCTCGCGGGCTCCAGTGCAGAGCAACCAGATGGCCTGGTTCACGCGACGCAGTGGAGAGACGTCGACAGCCTGGCGACGAACGGTTCCAGCGCGTCCAATACGTGTGGAATCTTCACGAGGGCCACAGTTGATGATGGCAGTGACAAGAATCTGCGAAAAATTCAACATTCATTAGGAAATTTAGTCAAATGTTAGGAGCATAATCTGTCGATCACTCTTTTATTTCAGCCCTCTGGCATTATTAACAGGGCCGAAAGTGAAACAGGATCCATTCCTCTCGTCCTTGTTGATGCTCTCTGCCTATTTTTTGGGCAGCAGAGTGCTATAGAGACAGGACGTTGCCTAATTTCGTGGCCATGGACTTCACAACTCACCTGCAGCGGATTCTCTCCGGTGAGCAGATGAATGATCTCGAAGGCGTGCTTCACAATGCGCACAGCCATGAGTTTCTTGCCATTGTTGCGTCCTTTCATCATCAGCGAGTTGGTGAGACGCTCGACAATGGGGCACTGGGCCTTCCTGAAGCGCTTCGCAGCATAGCGTCCTGCCGAGTGGGGCAGGTACCTCGCGTACTTCTCCTTCACGGCAATGTAGTCCTGGAGGGACATGTCGGACACGTGGACATCGTCGCAACTCCAGCGCCCAAACAGCTTGATGTCCGGAAGCTCAGCCGGCTGCGCCACCACCGTGTGCTCCTCCACCTGCATGGCAGGGGTCTCCGGTGGAGTCTCCTCGAATTGCTCGAACTGCTGCGGCTCAGCCACTTCACTCATGGTGCTGGAAAAGAGAGAGAAAACAGGGGAAAAGTGAGACGACTTAAGATTACAGGTTATGTTGACATATGCTCTGAGAATTCCTTGAAAATCACTCAAAAACAACTCAGAATCAAAGCAAATACAATCAACGACACACAATAACTCTCAATTGAGAATATTTTATGGGAAATTTACAAATAAACTTGATTTTTAGATGAAAATATGACACGTGTGATTGCACTCCAAGAGGCATAAAAACAATCGTAATTTCCCACAAGTTCTCAACATTTATCACTGAATCTTTAACTTCCACGTCAACAATGCACTTCGATCTTCCTGATTTCACAAAATTTAATTATGTGCGAACTGTAAATACTTACAAATTTCCTTAAATTACGTTCTTGCAGAGCAACCACACAAATGGCGTCCGACGGAAAGACCGATGACAGCGCGTCCAACTGACAGCACCATTTCCGCCACACTTTCGCCTAAAATGCCCACTTTTCGACCAGTTGTAGGCATTTTTACTAATAAATTCTCTGCGATTTTCCAGAATTATAACTAGAAAATTGAAAATATTGCTTCCATTCTTTGTAATTCAATGCTCTTTTATTCATACTCGAGGTTCTTGTATGGATCAGTGACTGTGAATAGATTCCGGCGACGATTTTTCCTGGACTTTCCACCATCGTCTTTTCCCTTCAATTTCTTCTTTCTCTTCTCATTTCTTCGCTTGTACCACACAGGATAATTTCCGAATTGATCCTTCATCGTCTTGGCGTTGTAAACATGCTCAACTTCTGTCTTTTCATTGACTACTTTCACAGTCTTCAGCTTCTTCTTCGACGACGACGCTTCCTCTCCATCCACCAGCATTCTTTCCTCAGCTTTCTGTAACCCAAAATAATTATTAGACAGCACTAAGCAAGATGATTTGTGGCATATTTACCTGTTTTATGGCTTTTGCATCGGTCACTGTGGCAATCTTCTTCACTTCCTTGGAAATCTCATTCCCTTTCTCGTCAATCAACCCAAGGCACTTTTTCAATCTCGCCAATTCCTTCACGGCAAACCTCTCACGCTTCACATTATTATTCTGTGCGCGCTTCTTCCTTCCCATTGTGCACTTTTGTGTGAAAATTCAGGTAAAGAATATCCCTCTGTGCAAATGTAAACACGTGCACTTTGATGTTTAGACGAAGTGGGACATCATCGAGCGATCGCAGCACTCCTCGCGGAGACCGCACGAAACAAATTCGACGAGTGACTGTTGAAGAGTTTCCCAGTACAATTCCTGTGTTCCGTCATTGTGGAGGAGAAAAAAGTACTTCGTCTCTGGTGCGATTTCTTTTCGGTGGACTTTTCACCCCATTTTAGGACTTCCTCGCCGATAAAAACTATCGCACGGGGTGTCGTGTGTGCTTGTGAAGTGTGTGGTGTACGAAACAATCGCCCCAATGTGGGGCCCCGGACGATATTTGCGATACAAGAAAGCCATTGAGAGATTGGGGAAAATTGCGTGGTCACTAGAGGAGAGAGCTTCAACGGCGTTTGAAGCTCTCGTGAGTGTTTGAATGGAATTATGAACCAGGATTGTCTAGCATTCACTCTAACGCAGATCAGTTATTTGGTTTCTACCTTGAGCAAGAAGAATTTCGAAAAGAACAGCCGACAACTTGACAAGGTGAGGCGCGATGGCGTGCATTCGCCTCTTTGTCTGGCAGCCATGTTTTAACCTCTCTCTCTCTGTTCCCGGATTTCTCGCCTTCTTCTGCAGCTCGTGCAAGAATTCGGCTTGGAAGCGGACCGACATTATCTGCGTTGCTTATTCTCAGCGATTGACTTTGGGGACACCCAGATAGCGAAGAACTCCATCCAGGCGAAGCTCCTCTGTGGGAATCTTCTCTTCCTCATCGGACGACCGTCATTTGTCTCGACCATCTGCTACACCTTCGAGCACTACCTCACATCGCCATCACAGAAGGTACCACGGGGCCCCCATCCGCGCGCCCTCTCACCTTGTCTCTCTCTCTCTCTCTCTCTCTTCCACAGATGCCCAGGATGAAGTACTAATAATAAAATGGTCTATTTTGTTGCAGACACTGAAATTGTCACCAAATTTTCTCAATTCAGTGGCCAGAACGCTGAGTTTGTCCCAGATCAAAGAAGTAGCAATTGCCTATTCGCTCCTCCATTCAGCAAATCCAGAACTTGCCAAATACGCTGAACAACACTTGAAAACTTGCCTCCCAAAGTTCATTCAGTCGTACATTGATATTGGTGAGGCGATTTTTTTTTTACCCTTTTCTTTTGCACGCCCAGGTCTCTGTGTGTCCCTGGCCAGGAGATTCAGTGGATTCTCAAACTAACTACACTCCCTCTTCATCCTCTTCTCTATACATCATCTCTCTGCTCTCTCCTTGTTTCTATGTTCACTGTTTTGTCTGAAGGAATTTGTGTTTTGTGAGGGGCTAAAAAAAATTAATGCTTCATTTATATTTATTTATAAACACTTACATATTTTGCTTTGGGAGCAATTCTAGTTGTGCAAATGCAGACTTTTGAGTTGCTCCCTATCATTTCTGTACATAAATGTTCAGCCAAATTGTACATAATTTGTTACTTCTTGTTCAATCAATTCAAACTCATTTGTTGTGCGCCACAGTGTCTCATCCTTTCTTTTGCAAATCTTATTACTAATCCATCATTTTTTTAACATTTGTAAATGAAACTAACATAAAATGGTTTGTATTTGAGAATTTGAAAAGCACTGAATCTCCACATCAATTTATTTGTCACATTTATTAGTGTCTCTTGATAATTGACTTCATTCGCGCCCCATTTGTTTCTTTCTTATTCTTTCAGATTCATCGCGACCGAATCAAGAGGGAAGTTTGAACGATATCGCACCGGAATTGCTTCAATTGATAATCTCTGTGATTTCACACGGAAAACACAATCAATTTGGACTATCTGACGTGATTTACAACAAATTCATCACACATCTGTGCAGAGATTTTCCACGGGATAGAGTTCCCCTCATCTTGGCACCTCTGCTGTACGGTGAGGAGACAGAAATTGCTGCCGATAGGGCGTGTGGAAGCAATCAAGCCATCATGTCAAGTGGAATAATGGACACATCGTGGGTGAATCTCGTCATGGACATTGGATATGCATTCACTGTGACTGTGGAGGAGTGCAAAAACCATCTGATAAAGGTGACTGGACGTGAGATTAATGCCCAGGATGTGGCGAAGATGTTGGCTGTCATGTGTCGTACGCACAGCAATCTCTCGGATAGCAGCATCAATTTGCCCACTCCTAGTGCCTTCTGGTCTGCTTCGGGTGGTCAAGCGGGTGCCGTTGCGACTGGAAGTGGCACGGACGGTGCGAAGGACAAGGACAAGGCGACAGATCATGTGACATGGAAGCCAGATGTGTTTGTGCAAGCACTGAAGGAAGTGGTGCCCAATTTGAGTTGGAAGGACGTGTGTGTGGCTCTAGATCACCCTGAGTTTGTCCTCAAGGATCGTGCTGGACTGAATCTTCTGGTGACGACACTTCGTCTGGGATTACAGTCAATGACACCGGCTCAGAACTTCCCAGCCGAGTGTATTTATCGCCACTGGACAAATACCGAAGGACAATTGTCACTGATAACGCTCATTCTCAAAAATGCTGACATCTTCTCATTCGCCGACTACATCTTCACGTCAGTCTCAGTGGAGTTGCTGAAGACGCCACCAGAGACGGACAATAAGGAGATAATGGCATGGAAATCGCTGCATCTTGTCGAAGTGTTGCTGTTCATTGCGGAGAATGGCTTCTATACACCCGCAATGGAGCTGTTCAAGGTGCCAATTCAACACTGTCCCGATGTGTTGTTTATGGCCCTGTTGCAAATCAATCCACCGCTAACGGTGCTTCGACAGGAGCTCTTCCAGACACTCATTCCCATCTTTCTGGGCAATCATCCCAATTCTGGTGCAATTCTGCATCATGCGTGGAATTCAACGAGTCTCAATCCATCGCTCAGGCACATTATAATGCACTCAATGAGTGACTGGTATCTGCGTGGGGATAATGATCAATCCCGACTGTCACGGATTCTGGATGTGGCGCAAGATCTGAAGGCACTCTCCAATCTGCTCAACGTGAGGTCATCCTTCCATTTTGTCATTGATCTGGCGTGTCTCGCCTCTCGGCGGGAGTATTTGAAGCTGGAGAAGTGGCTCAGTGACAAGATCCGGGAGCACGGCGAGACATTTGTCCAGGTTATGGTGAAATTCCTCCAGAGACGGTGTCCACAGATTGTGGGTGCCAAGATCCTCGATGATCAGATCCCGAAGGCGGCTCAATTGCCTCATGAGACGCTCAACACGATGGTGTCATGCCTTCATGCGTGCATTGGCAATGTGCAGCCGGAACTCAATGAAATCATCATCACGATGAATGCCAATTGCAATAACTTGATGAAGATGCAGCAACGTCAGCCACCACCGCCGCCGAATGTCTTGAGACAGCATCGGGGAATTGAGACACCCTTCAACACATCCAGTCTCGGTGGACAGATCTTCACTGCACCTTCTGTGGATTCCTTTACGTCCAACATGGCGGGATTGAATCTGGGTGGACCTGGCAATGGAGCCTTCAACTTTGGTGTCCTGGGGAATTTGATGTCCACTCCGGCATCGCCGTCGAGACTTCTCACGGCACCATCTAATAGTCCCTTCTCGATTATGCCGATGCAGAATACGCCGCAAGTGAACATGGGCAGGATTCAACCGACTCCAACGGGTGACAAGATCACAATGCCGCCCAACACTCAGCAACTGTTCACGGACGGCACTATTACCGTGTCGAAGGAGGCAGAAGATGAGGCGAATAGTTACTTTCAGCGAATATATAACCATCCTCCTCATCCTACGCTCTCTATAGATGAGGTGAGCTCTTAGTCTAACACGTAGAGCACGAAGATGAGACTTCGAGAAGTTTCTGTCCAAATGATTCCTGAATTTCTTTGCTTTCGTTTACTTTTCTTCCAGTTTAACAATCTTTTACTCTATTTTTCAGGTGCTTGACATGCTGCAGCGCTTCCAAGAGTCACGAAATCGATGTGAAAATGAGGTATACACGTGTATGCTGAGGAATTTGTTCGAGGAATATCGCTTTTTCCCTCAGTATCCTGACAAAGAACTACAAATCACTGCCCAATTGTTTGGTGGAATGATCGAGAGGAATCTGGTGGCGACTTATGTGTCACTGGGCTTAGCTCTTCGCTGTGTTTTTGATGCATTGCGCAAGCCTGAGGGATCTAAAATGTACTACTTTGGTATTACAGCTCTAGATCGCTTCAAGAACAAGTTGCATTTGTATCAAAAGTACTGCGAGCACGTGAGGACAATACCTCACTTCGATCAATTTCCACCACACTTGATTGAGTATGTGGAATATGGTGTAAATGGTCAGGAACCGCCGAATAAGCCACAATCATTGCCATCATCAATGTCACAGATGATGCCATCGAGTTCAACATCTGCGCTATACAGTCGCAGTAGTTCAGTGACAAGTAATTTGACCACTACGCCCACGGCGAAGACCCCAAATCCGACAAATGCACCAGCATCATCTCTAACCACATCGCGCGTGAAGTCCATAGCGAATGCTACGAATATTGATACACTGCTGGTGGCCACGCAGGATCGTGAGGAGAAGATAATAACACCACCGGATGCTGTGCAGGAGAAGACGGCGTTCATTTTCAACAATCTCAGCCAGTTGAATTTACAGCAGAAGTGTGAGGAGATCAAGGAGATCATGACGAAGGACTATTGGGCGTGGCTATCGCAATATCTTGTGTTGAAACGTGCGTCAATTGAGGTGAATTTTCACATTCTCTATTCCAACTTCTTGGATGCACTCAAGATCTCAGAGATTAATCGTCTCGTGACGAAGGAGACGTTCCGCAATATTCGCGTGCTGCTGCGATCGGACAAGAGCATTGCCAATTTCTCAGATAGGAGTCTACTGAAGAATCTGGGACATTGGCTTGGAATGCTGACGCTGGGTCGCAACAAGCCAATTCTTCATGTGGACATTGATCTCAAGTCTTTGCTGATGGAGGCATATCACAAGGGGCAACAGGAGTTGCTGTATGTGGTGCCTTTTGTAGCCAAAGTCTTGGAGTCGTGCGCCAAGAGTAAGGTTTTCCAACCGCCCAATCCTTGGACGATGGCCATTATGAATGTCCTGGCGGAGTTGCATCAGGAGCCAGAGTTGAAGCTCAATCTCAAGTTTGAGATTGAGGTGTTGTGCAAGAACTTCAACATTGATGTGTCGGACTTGAAGCCTGTGGTTTATCTCAAGGATTCGGACAAGGCAACCAAGATTGAGTATCAGTTGTCACAGCCGGGCAAAGTCAAAGAGCCCATTCAGCCAATTGCTCCACTACACAGCAGCCACGCCGCCGCCAGCACGTCTGCAGTCGTTGAGGAAGTCGCTCCGCCTCCATCCACTCCTGCTATTGCTTCCACCGGCGGAAATGTGACGCCAAATCAGGCGCTGGATTCTCAATCGGCGGCTTCGGGACCGCCAGAACCGAGATTCAGCTACATGGAGATTTCGGTGTCCAACTTCTCGTGCATCAATAATCTGATGACAATTTCACCGAATATCATTCTCTTGCACACGCAACCGCATCTCAAGGCACTCGTTCGCACGGCCATTGAGCGCACCCTCACGGACTGGATGACGCCAGTTGTGGAGCGCAGTGTGAAGATCGCCACGACGACATGTGAGCAGATCATCAGGAAGGACTTTGCCCTCGATGGGGATGAGAATCGCATGCGAACTGCGGCACACTATATGATTCGCAATCTGTCGGCGGGAATGGCCATGATCACTTGTCGTGAACAACTGCTCTTGACCATCACGACGAATATTAAGAATGCCTTCAATGCCGCCGTGACGCCACAGCACAAGGAGTTTGTGGATGCGGCAGCAACACAGCTAGCCTCGGATAACATGGAGCTTGCGTGCGCCATTATTCAGAAGACTACAGTGGAGAAGGCCATTCCGGAGATTGACAAACGCCTGGCGAGTGACTATGAAATCAGGAAGGTGACAAGACAAGAGGGCAGAAGATACTGCGATGAGGCGGTGTACAATTATCACTGTGAGAACATGCCGAAGAGGATTAGGCTGAAGATTGGTGGAATAAGCAGTGAACAATTTGCTGTGTATGATGAATTCGCGAGGAATATTCCCGGATTTCAACCGATTAGTGATCAGGATTTGGCTCATTTTCTGCCAACACAAACTTTCCAGGTGAAGAATTTGTTTTCTCTTAATGGATGATTCTTTTACTAATTGAATGGTGTGTTTTTCAGCAGCAGCAACAACAGCAGCAGCAACAACAGCAGCAACAGCAACAACAACAGCAGCAGCAACAGCAGCAGCAACAACAGCAACAACAGCAACAGCAGCAGCAGCAACAGCAGCAACAGCAACAAGAGCCCATCTCGATGTCGACCTTTGCCACTCAGATGCCACAGCAGAGTGTCGGCACGAATCAGTTCTCTGGATCGGACTTTGGGACTGCGTATGATGATCTAGGCAGCAAAATTGAGTCCTTCCTCAATGGCACCATGAATATCCCGGGATTGCAGGTGCAGACGACAAATATGGCGTCATTGCTGGAGTTTCTCATGCAAGCCCGTCGCCAGAGGGACAACATGAGTTCCATCACGCTGCTCAATAAGGCGGTGGAGGGTCTGCTGGATGGCTTTGTCAATGTGCCTGATCATGCTGAACACATCAAGATGTACCGTGACATTCACTTGCGCGTGATGAGAATGATGCAGGATAGCCGTGCTTTTGGTGTGGTGACAACCAATCGTATCATCACGAAGTATCTGTTTGAGTGTCGTGAGGAGATCAGATACAATCTGGAGGCAATTGATCTCCTCTTCACCAGCAATTTCATCAATGTGCCCAACTTTGACATCATGCTAAGTCAATTGATGGATAATGGAAACAATTATCTGGCAGTGGCATTTGCCATGCAATTAATTCAACACTTCTTCATTGAAGAGCGCCAGAATACGATGCTGAATGAGAGTGACTTTGTCAACACCATTGATTTGTTGACGAGAATTTCTGTACACCACCACAGAGCTCCTGAGGGTCTGGCTCACGTGATGGAGATCGTGCGACTTAATCAGGATCCCAGCAATTTGCTCTCTATTGAACGAATGCAGAATCCCCACATCAATTCGGGTATTGTTCAAGTGAGGAACACAAATGAAATGGAAGATCCGCCGGGATTGATCAGCAAGACTGAATACTTGCTGAAGGACTGGGTGAACATTTATCACAATCAGGCGCTGAATCGTGATCCGATTAAGGTGTTTGGGATGTTTGTCAGCAAGATGAACATTTGTGGAATTCTGAAGACGGACGATCTAATCACGCGATTCTTCCGCCAAGCCACACAGCTCTGTATTGATGTTGTGTACACAAACATCAATGAGGTGACAACAATGCCAGCAATGGGGAAATCAAAGTGTTTCCAATGGATTGATGCCTTTGTGCGTCTCATTGCGCTACTGGTGAAGCATTCTGGTGACACAGGCAATGCCACGACGAAGATAAATCTCCTGAATAAGGTTCTTGGCATTGTGGTGGGAGTTTTACAGCAGGATCAAGAGGTTCGCGGTGTCGCGTTCCAGCAGCTCGGCTACCATAGGCTCTTCATCATGCTATTCCTCGAGCTGAGCAATCCAGAACCTGTGTTGGAGAACATCAGTCTTCATGTGAGTTTCTTTTCTCATCTTTTTTATCGTTTGTCTGATTTCTAACTCTTGTGTTTAACATATATATTTCAGACTGTCACAGCATTTTGCCACACATATCATCTTATTCGTCCATCTGTGGCTCCTGGCTTCTGCTATTCGTGGCTTGAGTTGATTTCCCATCGGGTGTTCATTGGACGCGTGTTGGCGATGATACCACAGCAGAAGGGCTGGTCAATGTACTCACAACTCCTGATGGATCTCTTCAAGTATTTGGCACCATTCCTGCGCAATGCTGAACTGGCCAAACCTGTGACACTGCTGTACAAGGGAACTCTGCGTGTTCTTCTTGTTCTCCTTCATGACTTCCCAGAATTCCTCTGTGATCATCACTTTGGCTTCTGCGATGCCATCCCACCAAATTGCATTCAGATGCGTAACATCATTCTGTCCGCTTTTCCACGTAATATGCGTCTGCCTGATCCATTTACGCCCAATCTCAAGGTTGATATGTTGAATGAGATCGCCACAGCGCCCAGAATTTTCACCAACTATGTCGCAAACATCCAACCGGCAACGTTCAAGAAGGACTTGGACTCGTACTTAAAGGCCAGATCACCCGTGACATTCTTGTCTGAGCTCAGGGGACACTTGCAAGTGTCTAATGAGCCCGGATCGAGGTACAATATACCGCTAATGAATGCACTGGTGCTCTATGTTGGAAATCAGGCGATCACATTGATTAGGTGGGGTTGGAAAAATATTCCTAATATGGGTTTCATTTTGTGGAAATTAATATTTTCTTGTAAATATTGTAGATCGAAAAATCTCGTGCCGAACATGACGACAATTGTTCACAGCGCTCACATGGATATCTTCCAGAATCTAGCTGTGGATCTGGACAATGAAGGAAGGTATCTCTTCTTGAATGCCGTGGCCAATCAACTGAGATATCCCAACAGTCATACGCACTACTTCAGTTGCGTATTACTGTATCTTTTCGTGGAGGCAAATTCTGAAGCCATTCAAGTGAGTTTTTCTCAATCACATTTCCTTCTAGATTTGCATATTAATGTTTTCTTTCTGTATTTCAGGAGCAAATTACTCGTGTTCTTCTGGAGCGTCTTATTGTTAATAGACCACATCCATGGGGACTCTTGATCACTTTCATCGAGTTGATTAAGAATCCTGTGTATAAATTCTGGGATCACGATTTTGTGCATTGCGCACCGGAGATTGAGAAGTTAGTGTTTGACTTGCATGATCCACAATGTTGCTCCTTATGCTAAATTGTGTTTTTCTCTCTTCTATTCTAGACTTTTTGAGTCCGTTGCGCGCTCTTGCATGGTGGTGAAGGCCAACAATCAGCAGAGTCTTAACAGTGTGGAGGCAGAGTTACAAGAGTGCAACTGAAAAGTGTTGACGATAAAGTGTCGCCTTGAGGTATTGAGTAGAGAGGAGTTTCCGAGGCACACTTTATTGGATTTTATGCTGAACAATGATGAAAGTGGGAAGGTGGAGCGAAGGGAAGAAGACAAGGCGAAGAGAAAAATTTAATAAATCGTGTAAAGTCCTGGCACACGTGTCGCCACGGAAAAAAACACACACACCGCAACGCAACGCAGAGAAAAAGTAGTTGAAGAGGAAGAGAAGAAGAAGGATATGAGGCCACCGAACAGCCTCCAAGTATATGGAGTTTTTTTTTAGAGCGAAGAAATGGGGAGGAAAACGATGCGAGGAAAAGTTATAATTTTTTATTGTCTCACACACACACACACACATACACGCGAGAAATTGTAGAAAAGTAACGAATATGAAACGAAAGAAAAATTTAATATCGATTAATTGTAAGTTGTCTATAAGAAAAAAAATCAGGTGGATAAAATTATGAGATGCAGAAGAAGAGAGAAGATTTGTAAGATTGATGAGAAAAGCAGAAGAAAAAACACTGAAGTACTTTTTTTTCAAAATCTTACCATAACAGCCTGTGTGTGAATTGTAAAATAAACATGATAAAATTATATATAGACGAAAGTTTCAAGATACGATTGAGAGAAGTATATAATCTGAGGAAAGTCTCTATTCTATAAATATTTTTAAATGAATCATTGTTTATTGGATATATATATAGTTTAATAATAATTCGAGCAACAAAAAAAAATGAGATAAAATCACTTTTAGCAAGATAGATTTGATTATAATGGGGTAGAGTAACATTATATAATGAAATTGGATAAGAAATACAATTAGTAAAATGTGTTTTTAGATTTAAATAAAGCTGATTTAAAATGAACATGACAGTGTGTGAATATTTTACGGGGAAATCATTAATCCATTTGCGTGCAAAAGACTTTAGCAAATCCGCTCTTAATGTATCAAATGCGATTTTAATTGCACACATTTTCCATGGATGGAAATGAACTTGCCTTCGCTCAGTGTCTCTTTTATTGATTTGCCGCCCGAAAAAAAGGTGAATTTTCACACACAAACACAGGGTGGAACAAGAGGAAGAGTCGAAAGTAACAAGGGGGAGATAATACAGTCCAGAAGTGGTGTACAGTTCAGCAAAAGTAATTAAGAAGTGGAAGTGTTCTACAGCTTAAAATATTCTTTTCCTGAGAGCTTAATTTACTGACAAATGATGCCAATTCTATGGATTCACTTCGATTTTCATGGAAAATCACTCTGAAAAAATCTTTTTCTAGGTTATGTAACGAATTACGGACAGATTTAGTGAATATTTTCGCATTCTAACACATTAATTCTTATGCAAAAGTTGACAAGATTGCTAATAAATGGCAAAATTAGACATTTTCATGCAAAAAAACATCACTTTTCTGAACCTGAGATGCCAAGAAAAACACTGAAAATTGTATTGAACACGAACATAACCTCAAAAATTGTCATTTGGATTCAGAAAATATTCATTTAGAAGGCTCTTCGGACAATTTTGACTCTGAAACAGCAGTTTTGAGTTCATCAGATGATTTTGTAATCTTTAAAGCTTTGAAATGGAATCTTTAAAGATCTCTTAGTTATTTTTTGAGGTTATGGTCGGAAAAGATAAACCGAAAATGTGTTTTAAAGCCGTTTCTTACGATTCTTACAGAAATATCGAATGGAAACTTAAGAGATTCATTATATTTTAGTAGTGAATGTAGGAAATGATCTACAAACTTCACATTCTAGAAGTATCAGGCAAATTTGACAGTGTTTGGAAGTGGCGTACGGGTTTAAGATGTATTATCTCCCCCTTGGAAGATGGGGATTTTCACAATCCACTGTGGAATTGTGTGTAATTTTTCCACATAGTATTTTATCTATATTTCATGGATATATATGGTGGAGTTGAGAGTACATAAAATATGACATCGGCCCCCCAATTCACCGACGACGATGATAAAGTGAAAAACCTCCCAAGGAGGGTTCACACCTTTCCCCGATTTACACCCAAAAATGAATATGCATTCCTCGCTTCTACAGTTCGCGAGAATTTATTACGCAATTCTGAGGCATTTCTCAAATTTGTACAAAAGCTATTTCACCACTAATTGTATCTCATTTCAATCTATTTGCTAAGTATTTTTATTGCCACTACTTTGCTGTGCGTAATTGCTCGACGCGCACAAACCATCAAGATTCTGGAGGCCTCGTTTCTGCTTCTTTTTTTTTCTTCTACTGATGAGCCCGCAATGAATTAATTGCCAAAAAAAGCAGGCACAGTTTGAAGCAGTGTAAAATTGGTTTTTCGCCTCACATTGCCGAATCGCGAGCGAGAGAAAAGCTCTTATTGAGAACTTTATGATCTCCATAAAATATCGAGCAACATTTCAAATGCATTCTCATAAATTTTCTCTCACTGTGTCTGGTTGGCTATTGTTAGAAAATGTTATTAAATTACATTCTTCTCTTTTGATATACAACCAAACAGTATTAATCTTTATGGCCTCATTTTGTCCTCTTTTGCCAATGATAGCCAGTGACGTAGTGGATTGCTAAAAGGGTGTTTAGAAAAATGCCAACTGACTTCTTCATATTGCAAAAATAAATAAATAAATTAGAGGAAAAATTCGAGGTAAAGTCACAGAAAGCAATTTTGTATATACAATTTTTGAACAACATTTTATATAACATTGCACAATAACGATGAAGAAGGGTAAATTGATTGGTGTAATTGAGAAATTCAATATTTGAATCTATACAAAAAGCTCTACGTTACTGCTGTTTCTCTCTCACTCTCTGATCTACGAAATTCACTAAATAGACTCACGCCGCCTCATGAGCCGCCGAGGGCGCCTTGGGCGGGTGCGCACCCCCTCTTCTCAGGCCACCACCCGTGGAGAAAGGCTGATGGGAGGGGCTGTGGGTGGTGTATTTGCTCACGAAGCGCCCACGAGCGCTAGGGATGGGCCGGAGGGTGACCTACTTTCGTGGCCATCGGGAGGGGATGGGCCAGGACAAAGGCTGAGGCAATCCTACCCCACCAATAACATCGTAAGGCCCACATTGGAGCAAGTGATGCCGACACTTTTCTCGTGTGGGGTGTGAGTGAAAAATTCAACCCCTCACTCGAAAATCCGCCTGTCGTGCGGGCAAATGTCGATTTTGGGTCGGGATTTATGGATGAGAAAGGTGTGTTTTCTATGGGAAGTGAAAAATTCATGAGCAACAAAATTGCGGGTGTTTTTTTTGCTTAAATTTCCACTCGAAAATTGAGTGATGAATTAAATTTGATGAAAACATTTCTAGTCGTGAAATTATTTCTTCGATACTCCCACACTTTCCCGATTTTATGGGATTAAATTTCCCCGATTATTTTCGATTTAATGAATTTTTTATCCACTTTCAACGTCAATTGGGGTGGATATTCAATTTTTCCCCATGTAAAATTGGTAATTAATTGTGTATTTTTTACATTGTAATTGACCTTAATTATGCTGATGAAACCTAGTTTGTATACAGTTTTATGCTCAAAACAGACTTATGGCTTAAAGCGCGGGGCGACAGAATTTCTTTTTTATTTATTGATCATCATTAAATCTCCTGAATGTGATAATTAGTGGCTTTTCTGGAAACATAAGCACTGCTTTCTTATCAAACGCAATGTCTTGAGGTGTTTTGCTGCAGAAAGACACTCGATACTTGGACAAGATCGTTGCCAGTGCCATTTTTACTTGCAGCATTCCAAAGCGTGACCCTATGCAGGATCTCGGACCTTGTCCGAATCCTAGAAGCACACGTGGATCGATTGGATGGTCTGCGGTGACGGTATATCGTTCTGGACGAAAACAGTAAGGATCCGGAAAGAAGTTAGGATCTCTCTGAATACCGACAATCGGAACGTAGACAGGCATCCCTTTAGGAACACAAAAGTCGTGAAAAGGTGCCAAAGAATAAGTCTCTGATCCAGCTGTAGGCTGACAAATACGCTCCAGAAAAGAGAGACTCGGATACATTCGAAGAGTTTCTAGAAAGAAAAAGGAACATTGATGGATTCTTTAGTTCGAATTCGTATGAAATTCTCCGTTGAACAGAATGAATTACCTTGAAAAACCATTTTCAGATACTCTAAGTTGCTCAAATTTTCATAATTCATGTCTTTTCCACTCTTGGAAAAGTCCACAAGTTCTTTCCTAAGCTTCTCTTGTTTGTCCTGATGCTTGGCCAATTCGTACAATGCGAAGGACAACATGGATGAGGACGTTTCATATCCAGCCGCAAGGAAAAGTGCTGCTTGAGCGACCAGAGCATCTGCATGAAAAGTCTCCTTTATCCCTATAAGAGCGTCAATTAAGTCATTTCTCTTCGAGCCACTCTTCTCCCTCTCTTTCATCACATCCAACACGGTTGTCCTGAGGAATTGTTCCGATTCTTTCGATAAGAGTCTTAGTTTGAAGGCACTGGCAAATTCCGGGAAGAAGAAACATGATCCAAATTCAAGGATTCGCTTAAAATTTGATGGTCTAACCACTTCATTCATATTTCTAATGAAATCACAATTTGGATTTGAGAATGATTTGATAATCACGCCAAAAGCACACGAAGCAATCGTTTCTATGGTATAAAGACTTGCCAATTCCTTCACATTTATCTCTGCAGAACCCCCAGAAGGGATTTCTTTGGCCAATTTGACTTCCAGATCCTTGCATATATCAGAGATGAGTGCAAAGAAGTTTTTCAAATTATGTGATGTAAAAATTGGAGTCAAATTTGTCCTGATTGCCTTCCAAATGTCTCCTTTTGCAACCAAAAGATTATAATTCCCGATGGGATCACTTTTGGGATCTGAAGCCATTCTTCTGTTTGGGAATTGAGAAAAATCCTTCACGAGAATTCTCTTGATGAGCTCCGGATGACGAATAAGAAGACAAGGCTTGTGGAAGAAGTAGAATCCAGTCACTGCGTCATTCCTTGTCTTTGGATGATTATAAAGGGAAACAAACATTTCGGGAAAGCTAGTTCTGTTCAGCAGAACATTCTTGATCACGCCAACCATCGGCGGTCCGGGAATGTAAGAAACATTCTTGGACAGCCAGAAGTGCTTCAAGTACTTCTTTAGACCTTCCCAAAGGTACAGCAGAGCAATACTTGTCCACAAAATAACTTCAAAAATACTCATTTTAACACTCTTCACCAACGACTGATTATAAATTATCTCTCCAGTCTTAATATACCCTCTTTATCACTGCCATAAGACGCTTTTTACACCCTTCAATAAAATCGAAAGGAATATTAACAAAAATTTCACAATTGCCCTTCACATTTATTCTAAGATGTCCAACCGACTCACGGCTTAAGCCAAGAGATAACTAATCTTGTTCTTGAAGTGTGTACGGAAGTGTCTTCCACCCTTTCCTCCTCCTTCTAAGCACTTTGCAACTCTGGCCAATCCAGACATGCTGTAAGAGCAATCAATCGTGGGGCATTTATTGAGAGATTGTGCTAAGCATTTCCGCTGTGCGATGGCAACGGAAAGGAGAGCATATCAGAAGATGTGTGGAAAGACAGAGTCGAGCGCGCGATGTTCATTAGAATCGTCAAAGAAGCGTCTTCAACATCCGTTACGTGGCCGATGAAAGACCATCAAAAGATGGTGAGTCTGGACAGGCTAGCAATCTTGTGGGAATTTCTGACCGCCTCCTCGGGAAGGTGCCGTAAATGGGCAGATAGAAATTGATTATCGGGGCTTTTTTTTGCCACGCTCGACCTCCATTTAATTGGGTGGCCCTCTTGAGACAAGAGAGACTCACATTGACCAGCGCGCGCTTGTGGTGTCCTTTTCGGCCCAATTAGGCGGGCGCTGGCAAGGACTCTCGTGCCTCCTTGAGACCACCTCTTCCCCCCACGTGAGCCACCCAGGCCCCATCGATCGATCCGGCGAGAGAGCGAGAGAGAGGGAGAGAGAGAGAGGCCAAAAATAGGCCGCAGTGTTTTGCACCCGTCCACCGTTTGCCATGGCAACAAGGGCCAACCTTTTCGGCACTGTTGGCCTGAAAAATCGTCGTGGCTCCAATTTCGCCCCCCGCGATGAACTCAAATCGCCCACTCTGTGAAACAGTTGTTGGGAATTTTGTCAAATAATACACAATTTAATGAGAAATTGATACTTTCTCTGGAAAAAGGGAATTTCCATAATTTCACATGTATAAAATGGAGGAGATAATACACCCTAAACCCGTACACCACTTCCAAACACTTCCAAATTTGCCTGATACTTCTAGAATGTGAAGTTTGTCGTCTGTTTCCTACATTCATTACTAAAATATAATTAATCTCTTATGTTTCCATTCAATACTTCTGTAAGAATCGTAAGAAACGGCTTTAAAACGCATTTTTGATTAATCTTTTCCAACTATAACCTCAAAATATAACTAAGAGACCTCCAAAGATTCCGTTTTGAAGCTTTATAGATTACAAAATCATCTGATGAACTCAAAACTGTTGTTTTAGAGTCAAAATTGTCCAAAAAGTTTTTGACTAAATGACAATTTTTGAGGTTATGTTCGTGTTCAATACAATTTGCAGTGTTTTTCTTGGCATCTTAGGTTCAGAAAAGTGATGTTTATTGCATGAAAATACATAATTTTACAAATTATTAGCAATCTTGTCGACTTTTGCATAAGAATTAATGTGTTAGAATGCGAAATATTCACTAAATCTGTCCGTAATTCGTTACATAACCTAGAAAAAGATTTTTTTAGAGTGATTTTCCGTGAAAATCGAAGTGAATCCGTAGAATTCGAATAATTTTTCTGTAAAATAAGACAGAAAAAATTGTTAGACATTGAACACTTCCACTTCTTAATTACTTCTGCCGAGCTGTACACCACTTCTGGACTGTATTATCTCCCCCTTGATGTATAACAAATAATAAGCTATAACAATAAGCTCCTAGGAAAAATGATTATTTTTAATCCTTTGAATAGTTGTTTAAATATTTTAAAGCGTTTTTTGTATGCAATACAAAAATTAAAGACAAATTAAACCGATATTAAATTTCGACTTTTATATAATTTTACTTGTTTCCATTTCAATAAAACATCTACTCGCAACTCTCCATGCCTATGTTCGTAAGTGTAAATTTTTTCAAAGTAATACTATATTGTAAGCAATTAAGTGTATGACTTTCATTGAATTTGACACCTTTTCCTTGAGCCATTCATTGTTGAATTGTAATCAAAAAGTTGCTACTTTCCCGTCATAAATCGACTGAGAGATTATCTCTTCACACCTCGATTCTTCATCAGCAAACCGAGCCATTTCATCACTTCTTCATACAAAGTGAATTTCCTCATTCTTGCTAAACATCAAATGATTAACCAGTCGCCGTGAGACTCTGGGAAAGAAATCCTACGCAAGTGAGTGTGTACAAGGCGTACAATTACAAATCTCGAGTCGTTTTATTGGCGGTAAATTCAGAAAGAGTGGCAGAAAATTGCACTGGCCGCAGGGATGCTTGGCAACATCTCAATTGCCAACTCCTTCAGGCTCTCACGCACATGGACACTGTCTTTGTCCGAAGGCACTTCACTGGCTGCGCTCACATTTCTCCGCAAAACTTGTCACAATGACGGGAAATTGGAGTTTTTTTGGGCGTTTTTGAATTTGAAAAAGTGTTGGTCTGTTGGCCCCTCGCTTTTATGGTTACGGCCTCATAAAAAGCCCAGAAAAGTGGAAAAAAGAGAAGTTGCAGAATGGTTTATATGAATATTTTTGACAGTTATGCGAAGAAGTAAAAAATGTGGGTCATTCACATTGGAGCCATCATATGGGGAGCTTTCTCTTTCGAACTGTTTGCCCCACACACTCTCTCAAATGCCTGAGTTGCATGTAAAAAAACGAGCAATGTGTCACTAATTTCTAATTTCGCGCCTATCATGAGAAGAGTCTCTCTGTTGGGCTCATCCATGGACAAAGAAGTGGGCAATGCGGTGGCCACTTGGAGACCTTTTCATGACCTACAAAAGTGCACCAACAATGGTCGCTGATGGGTCACATGTGGGCGCTTCAAAAGCTACCCAGGCCTTTGTCCCGAATCCATCAACCGTCAAATGGGGGGCCTTTTGTTCCCCACGCACAGCCAAGCCCCACAAAGAACCATATTTCAATGGGTTAAAATACTTTTTAGCACGTCTCCGACTCTTCATCAGTGGCTAAGACCATACAGACAACCACTCATTATATTCACTCAATTCCATGATGAATTCCTTTCGCGAACAAGTGCATAAAGCACTGTTCATACCACTAAACGCCTCCGCAAACTGCTCATGAGCACCACAAACCTATAAATTCTCAAATACTCGGAGGACATAAAGCCACTCGAAAAATACCCAATCTTTGTACGCTTGATTAACCAAAAAAGCTCTACCGAATGTCATGAATTTTACGATCACAAAAGCTGCACAAATCATAAATTCTCTTCACATTTGCATTCACTGTTTTTTTCTTTATGACTTCCTCAGCATCACGAAATCCGGGACATTTGGAAAAGACATCCTTGACAATCCCGTGAAGTTATAAAATTTTAATATTGGTCATGTAGAGCTTTCTGGAATGCATCGAGAGGTGCAATTTAGAGTAAAAGCTTAGAAATTGACAGTTTTCTCTTGCAACAACTTGTAATCTAAGATACAATTTCTCAGCAATGAAACTGTGGCTCCTCCCATTGCGAAGCTCCGCCCAATTAAATATGAACCCTTTGGATTAGATGAAATTTTCTAGAAATCGGCCCTTCAGTCTCACCTCTGCTTGTGGTGCAAAGTGCAATATCCACTTCTATCGAGTGACAGGTGAATTTGCATCGCGAAACTCACCTCATTTACGACCATTGTACCTCTCTAGGCATTCCTCAGCCTCTCTCAACTGAGCGATGGAAGTGTGGAAATCACAGTGGAAAATCCGGCGCGATTGCCCAAGATGCCAAAGATCTGCAGTTGCGTGAAAATTGCCCAATCGCGCTGAGAAACTCCGCAATGGGAGAGGGAATATCGCAGGCCATCTGCTCAAGGGGCTGCCCATGCAGACCCCTCGGGAGTCTTTATCTCACCCAAGTGTTTGAGCGGTTTTTTATTTCACATAAATCAACACTCCCAGCCTTGATAAAACTTGCACAATTCGCCGTCAACTATATTTGCTTTTGCCCAACACGAAAGCACACCCCTTATCAGTTTTTCGATGGCGGAAGAGGCATTTCATGGGCAAATGAGTGGCTCGAATTGTACGCACAATTGCGCACTGAGTCGCCCCTCTGTGACGATCGTGCCACAGCGTCTTTTAGTACACGATCACCTCGTGTGCTAAAGCATGTTTGGCGCTTGAAATGGTCCTAATGCGAAACACGTGAGTGTGGAAAAATATTCAATACGAAGAGTGGAACACAATGTTGCGAAATGTTACGTAATTTCCCGCGCGCGATCTAGTGTTCATTTTTCTCTTCATAATTCTTTTTAATTCACTCGTAGATTGCGATGTTAATTGCTGCATCTCTTTGTATACATTGGCGCACACACCATGGCAAAAAAAAATGCTGAGCAAATCTCAAGGAGAGCAATCGCCATTAGGAGAGGGGAAATGGAGATTTTCCAATGCGATATTGCGCTGCCTCTGCTGGTGAATTCAATTTCCAGCAAATAGGGAAGAGTGGGGCGAATTCGCATTGAAGCACCGCACAATTTGACATTCTCCCGAGACTATCGCCGTATGCCTTCTATTGTCCAACAACACACGGTCCAACTCTTCACTAATTCAGTGCACACACACACAAAATTGCTTTTAAATTGCCATCCCCATTGCCAATTCACCCTTTTCCTCGCATGCAACTTGAGACCCTTTCTCTGGCCACTTCTTCGCCTTCATTGCAACAAAACAGATGCATAATATTTGCATACACAGTCCAATTGGAAGAGTGAAACCCTCTCTTTCGAACACTGCTTCTCTCCTGCGGGGATTTGGCGCGCTTTTACTTAATCTCGCATCTGCAAACGAGAGCCACAAATTCTGCACAGTGGCACGAGGGAGAGGAAGGATCATGGGCAGAAAGTACAGAGAACTTACGATTGTTTCGACCGGAATTTTGCAAATTACGAATGCGAAAGAAATATGGAATCTATAGGAAAAAAGTCATTAATCATTTCTATATATTCACAGGTATTTATATACGTCACAATAAAACTGAAATGATGTAAATGATTTGCACTCTCTGTGCCTCAAACTGCTCAATGTTTAAAGAATTTATTTATTTTTGCAAATGTACAATTTTAGTACAATATTGCGTGATATGTTTTTTTTCCACAAAAACGGCTTTTCATCTCCATTACACAGTGAATTCGTGCCAATTCGGCTCTTGATGTTCGTGCGTCAATTATAAATGTAGAGAGACATATGTTAAAGAGCCAGAAACTAGTTTTTGGCACGGCAACTCTTGCTAAAAACTAGGTTTTAGAACTTTTTCTCATGTACAACCCATACGCCTTTTCGCTGCCATTTCATCACACACTCGTGCCTTTGTTCGCCCAAGATATTCCATACCATTTTGCGATTGGGGGGATTTCGTCTAGCATAATCCACACTCTCTCTCTCTGTCCAAGTCCAGTGGGATGTTGGTGGTGGAAATCCGTGGTTTTCACGATGAGTTGGGCTGAAAATGTCGAGGCACCGAAATATAGGTCGATGGTGAATTCTGCATGAAATCGCGTATTGAATTTGCACGAAGACGCGCTTCGGTTGGCGTCGTATCGCCCGAGATTACGTCACCTTACGTTCTCTCTCTCGGATGTACATAGGAGCAGCAGCACGACTTTATATATATTTCGCTTTGGTGTGTTCACGCAACATTAGAATTTGTGTTTTATTTAATGGCTCTTCGTGAGACCAAAAAACACATCTCTTTTCGTCCCAAAACGAAAGGAGAGACATCAACAATGGATGAGTTACAGTATGGTCTCTCTCTCACCCCGCGCGGAACATATGTCTTTTCTGCGCACGCACACTTTTTCCTGCCCATCGCGCGCCAATTTGACGCGAATTTTCGTCTCTTTTCTGGGGGACTCATTTGAGAATTTTTCGCATTTTGACCGATTCTTTTCGGCCAGGGTGGATGACTGATAATAGTTATACTTCTCTCTGTCTGAAATCTAATTCGGGTGATTTTCGCACCTCTGACTTCTCGATCACTCACCCGGTTCAATGCAAATTAAAATTTTAAGAGACGACTTTTGATATAAATTCACATTTTCTCGCTGCTGAAATACCCATTTATGACTCATACGGCAAGATTCTCCGTTAGGCGAATTTACTACATTGTTCTAAAATCTGTACTAAAAAAATCAAAAGAGATTTGGGTTTTCGAGTGTAATTTTCTTCTGGATGATTTCCAAATTTTGACCAAGTCTTCATCCTCATCCAAATCAATTCACACTTGAGAGCTTGTGGAGGCATGCAAAGGAGGACAAGTGGACGAGATGGCAAAAAGGCAAATTGATCGCCTGCAAGAGAAGAGTTGGAGTGAAAGACGGAGAACGAGTATTTAATTTATTTATGATTATTGTATTATAGGTCGAAGCATCTTCTTGAGCTCAAGTTTTTCCTATAGGCAAACGCCATAACGGAATATTTAGACTCTGTGCTGAGATGTTTCAAGTGTTTGTGTCCCCCTTCGCGGGCCTCCGAGGTCGTCATCGAAAAACACGGCAGAGAATGAGATAATCCCACAACCACAGCGCGCCTCATGGAAGATCAACAGAGAAAAACGAGCCAAATAGGCAATTTACACATATAATGAGTGCTGGAGATACCGAAAAGAGCTTGCGTGGAACAATGAAAAATAAATAAAACCCCAACGCATGATGGTGTAACATACGCTTTTTAGTACATCCAGCATTTAGCCCTAATTTTCCAAAAAAAAAAAATAGATTCTCATTCAAAGCTATAGGATGAGGAAAAGCCTCGCCTTTTATGCAATCTAACCTTCATTTTCAATAAACGTTTCTCATGCAAATTCATCGGGGAGTAATTACGAAACAATTTACACCCAACATTGGAAACTCATTGTTGGCACTGAGTAATTAAATGCAAAATAGCGCGAGAATCAAACACCACTGCCTTGTAATATCCACTGCAATTAGCATATTTTGCTGTGGTCAGGCACTTTTTTCCATCTCATCCAAACGCGATGGTGTCACAATTTTTCACGCACAGTGTGTCCGTGAAGCCGAGGGGCTTCCAATGCAAATGCAAACAACTCAAGTGGGACGATTGTGTGTGTGTATAAAATCCTTTCATCATTTTTACCTTCAACTAATTTTTTGTGCTGAATCCGCTGAATCGCTTGAAAGCCATCAAAAGTACGCGCAATGTTTTCATGGGCGACGCGCGCATTCTATGTAGCATTGCGTCATTGCCGCGGTACTCGACATACAGTAAATCCAATTTAAACTAAAAGAAAAAAAAGATCTAGAGAATCAATGCTCTTCTGAAGAGTAAAGTGTTGATATTTCAGACAGAAACACCCGAAATATAAGAAGTCGCCCAAAATTTTTGAAAACCCAATAAACAGTTGTACGCCATTGTTGTTCTAAAGAAAAATATCAGCACACTTGCATCATCATGTGTGACTCGGATGAGGAAAGTTGAATCGAGAAATTCCCCGTGACAATCACATAAATATAGAGATGACTGGCGAGTGACAAATCTGCATGAGTCGGTCAGATGCAGAATCCATCTGGTCAGAGATGCTACGTCAGCGTAGGTGACGATTGGTCCCCCATTCGACCCGCCAAAAATACCCATCGGAGTGAGAGAGCATCTGGCCAGCGCCCGTGCCTCTGGTCTAAAATTAAACCACCCTCGTGGATGCGCGGGCAGCTGGAAAAACTGGCTTTTTTACACGGAAATCTCACCACAATAACGTGACTCAGTGGATGAATCGGCCAAAACTGTTTACACTGCAATTTGCTCAAGTGCCTAAAATACTCAGCAATTCTTTTTTCCAAAGTACGCGCGCGCCTTTTTGCCACACGGACGGCCAGATTTCAGATTACGCCGCACATTGAGGCGTCCCCTCGCTTTCCCCCCGCGCAACTCCACACCACCCGGCAATCGCGTAGCAACAAGAGAACGAAATGGCTTTTTGAAACAATTCCAACATCTAAGCCATGCACTCCAATACATACCAACGTGTAGTTGCCCAATCGGATACGTCTGATTTCGCGTTAAGCAATCATATGGTTGCCTTTCGCAATGATGAGAATGTGTCCCAAAGACGTATAGATCTCAATGAATAATGGGTTTCAGGGGGAAAAATGTATTGATAAGCATAGAGAGCCTTTAGAAATCACGTCTGTGAAAAACAAATAAGCACTTCTGTGTTTAAGTGCGGAAAAGTGTATGGATTTGCCTTTGTGCAATGTTTTCGTCTAAAACACAAGATAATATTAAATCCATTGAAAATTAATAATTTAAAAAGGGAGTGTTTCATGTTTTTTTTTTTTTAATTATTGCACACTGTTTTCTTTATTTAAAATAATGAAGAAAGGTCCTAATTCATGAGACTCTTTATTAAATTATTTTCAATATATCTATCTGAAGTTTTCAACAACGTGACTGTCAATTATGATGACAAATTCTGGATCAATAGTTCGAATTGCACTTGTTAAAATCTACATCAAGTACCATTTCTAGTTCTCTCTGTTTTAGTACCCAATCATTTGCTTTGTTATAATTTTTAGAAGAACGGCATTTCACTTCTCTCAACCAAAGTATGTATAATGGCGTATTTCTTTTGCCTTTGTGTGCGCTAAGTTAACGTGATTTTTGTGTAGTGTGTGGCGTAGATCGCTATTATAACAGTATTTGAAGGCGCAGAAACTGGGTTTCTAGTAAGAGACGGAAAAACCTGATCGCATCTGGGTAGAGAGAGAAATAGATAGGGAAACCTTTCGTCCTTCACCAACTATTTTCGGGTGGGAGGAGATCGATTGACGGATGATGTGGCGAAGCCTTGAGATGCCTGTTCTCTCTCTCCCTCTCTTTCTCTCTCCTTCTCACTCGCCCTGTTCCAAGATGGAAGCCTGGAAGGCCCTGGAACGAGGGTGACGTCGAGGGGGTGGGGCCAGAGAGACGCCATGCTCACCCTCAGTGTGGGCTTGCTTTCACTTTCAACGGCGTCGCATTTCCCCGAAGTGCTGACTCACCCTCATCACCCCGCCCTGGAAATTTCCAGTGTTTTTCCTCTGTCCTTCAACTCGCCCTCCGCACGCCACGCATGACAGCGCCTCTAGAGTTTACTACCATCTTTGTTGTACCCTGGCTTTTCTCTTCATGGGGGTGAATCGTCGCCACCCTCCATTTTTCTTTCTCTCCTCTCTCGCTCGCCTCTTTTTTTCTCTTTTTAGTACTCCTAGTTGTTCACACGATGATCCTATTCCAAACAGCAAATATCAAGAGTCTCGCAGCCAGTAATTTACCACGGCAAACAATACTCTCGTTTTCACTGAATTTCCCATCGATTTTCCTGCTGCTGCAGCACTTTTAGTACAAACTCGGTGTCAGGCGACGCGCGTGCGAGCGAGACAGAGTATCTCATCATATTTCCAACTTCAAGGTCTTTTTATCTGGGGAGTTGTGTGAAAAGTACATGGATTTTTTCTGACTCTCTCTCATCGCCCAAGAGAGGAGAGGCCTCAATTCCCGCCTTCTCATCCCTCTCGCCATCTCTGTCGCGCACAGGCACACAGCAAATTCCCCAAAGTATCCATTGTCCCGAGCGGGACGGCATGAGGCCCAGAGCTGGAGTCGGGCTCCATCGATGGCACACCCGTTGTCTGTCCGTCAGGCCCATAGGAGAGAGAAAAAGACTGACTGATTGTTAAATTCAAGTAAGCCCCATTCTCACTCCTGCAGGCACCAAAGAACCAATTCATCATCTGCCCCAAGGCTGCACTATTCGCCCCCCCGATTCCACTCTGTCGCGTGTGTGTGTGCCCCATAGAGCAAAAAGTGGCCCCCCAATACTCAAGCGCGGAGTTTTTTTTTCTTTCTTCAAACCGCCTTTTTCCCGCCTCTTCGTGACTGACACACAAACTGAAGGTTTTTCCTCTCTCTGTCATTTTTCCTTGACACTCTTTTCCCCATGCTATCTAATTAGTATCTCTAGTTGTATGTGGGAGAGACGGGAGGGGGGAGAGGAGGCGGCCATTGCGATATGTGATACCTTTCGTCAAATTTCCACGAAAAATCGCCATGACGTCACGCGATCTTACAGAAATTACGCGAGCACAAGTAATTGAGTGGAAAATTTTTCAAGAAAAATCACATGATCCCCCATGCAACATCTCAACACTTCACTACAAACTGAGCAAAAAGTGTGCTGAAGAAACCCCGCGGAAAGGCCATTAATGTGATTTTCTCACCACTTTATATTACAATCCGTGGCTCTTTGTTGCAAATGTGCATAGTTATCGCGCTGCCTTGTCGCTTTTCTTCTTTCTCTCGCGCTTTTTTGCCTTCGTCAAAATGGCGCTCGCAATGCGGAAGTTGGAAAATTGGGTCGTGATATCACCACACTCGTTGCGTAATTGCATAAATTTTCCCTGTGTACTAAAGAAAAAAACCAAGAGACAACTGGTAATTTTTTTTCTCTACCACTCTTGTGCCGTTGAAACGCGATAGGGAGAATTCTGGCAGAAACAGTGAGGCCATTTGTAGGCCATCGCGGAAAATGTGCTGCGAATGATGATCTTCTACGCCCGTAAGTTTCGTACTGAATCACACTTTTTGCGCTGAGCGACAAAAGTTTCTGAATATATCAATGGATGTGGAGAATAGAAGTGTGATGTTAGATGAATAGAATGTTGAAAAAGAAGAATCACTGCGAAAACACGTCCACGCGCCGCGACGACTCAATGACGAATGGAACGAAGTTTCGTGACGCGCTGTAAATTTTGTGCCACTTCCACGCCATCGGCCCACCTTCGGTCACAACTCGTGGCCACACACACACAGCGCCACGGGGACTGAGTGTGGCGTTATGTGGCAGCAGAGAGAATGGGGGGCCTATATATGCCTCTCTTGGTTCCACCAATGGGATCTTATGCTATGTTGGCCACTATTATATATTGGGTCGATAGCAATGTGTTGGTCAGCACGGAATTGCGCGCGCAATCGCCGCATTGATGTTCTCGATGGAGCCAACACTGGGTCCGCGATGGGGGAGAGGGTGGGGAGAGGCACAATAATTTTTTTTTCTCCAGCAAAATTCTCACTTCTAGCTCGGCATCTCTAATACCTTTCGGGAGAATTTTAGTACTCACCCGATAGAGTGTCTGAAAATTTTAATTACACATATTTTTTTGAAAACATACATATGGAAATAAATTGGGAAATGTGGTGTGACAATATTGTGCAAGAAAAAGACCCCTCCTCTTACTTAGTACACACGGCCAAAATGGTGTTAGTACTAAAAGAGAACAAAGAATCCATTGAGTGTGAAAAGCAGTATAACTCCCTTATATACGCGATGTGGATCGATTTGAGGTGTACATAGGGCTGCTGTTCCTAATATTCTAAATTCTACGAATTATTACACGTTGCTATGTACAGTTTGCCATCTCGCTCACGCCCAGTTACATACGCCTCTCACTCGTCCGGGAACAATTGAAAATAATTAAATGTGATTCTCCCATGAGATGCTCACTGTAGTACTCTGAGGTGGCTTCACCAGAATGACATCATTCCATAATTAATATCAGTTGCGCAATATTTTTTTCTTATATACCCACATACAGCGCGCCTTTGTTGTAAAATGTGTTGTGCCATAGTGTTGAGAGACGGCCTATACGCCCCAGATGCCGTGTAAGCGA